CTATCTAAAAAAAAAAGTCTAAAATTTATATGTAAAACCTGAACTAGGCCCAAGCCTGTGTTTCAGGTTAAAAATGTGCTGAAATATTTAAAATACAATAACATTGCTTATAAAACTAAATATTTTATGTCTAAATTAAATTAAGTTGGTATCTAAGTATAACAGGTGCGCGTGTACAGTTTCATAAACAAACGTAAGCAAAAATAACTAAGTCAACTATAATAAAATTATTTGCTTACTTCAAGTAATTCCTCGGTTTGATCGTATGTTAAGGTGTGTACATAATTATGTAATAGGTTTTTACAGTGAAAGTGATTGAGGCTATAAATATTTAATTCTCTATTTATTCTATTGTATAAAAATGGGCCAAGAAAGATAAAGAATCTTTTTATGAAAGCATGTTTTGACACTGAGGTTGAAGTGCAAACTATATCATTCCGTCTTTTGTTAGTAAGATTGTTAATATCGAAGCTGAGTAGTGAGTGTTGTTTGAGTATTAGTTGTACAACATAGATTTGGCGAACAGTTAAAACTTTGCAGGATCTATATAGCATCGATGTAGGAAAGAGAAAGGGATGGGAAAATGCAACTTTCAGGATGGCTCTCTGAGCACGTTCTAGAGGGAGTATAATCGTTTTTGATGCGCCACCCCAAGACGTAACACAGTACTGGATAATTGACTGACATAATGCTAGGTAGATTTGAGTGATTAATTTGATATCTCCTATGTGTCTAATTTTTTTAAAAATATGCATTAATTTCCTGACACGTGCAACCAAAGCGTTGATGTGTTGTTTGAAACAGAGAGTTTCATCAATTATGATACCTAGATATCTGATGGAAGTAGTTTTTACTATACAAGGGCAGTTGCATGTACCGACTTGACTAATTGTACATTTATGTGCGTATAATTGGGGTGTAACAGAGGTAATTGGACTCTTGCGCATAGAAAAGTGAATAAATTTTGTCTTTTCCGCATTTAGTGTTAGTAGATTAGAGCAAAGCCAACTATTAACTGAATTGAAAGTCAATTGAGCATTACAGAACAGTTCATTGACGTTATTGGATGAAAAAATGAGGGCCGTGTCGTCAGCATATGATATTAGTTTCCCATGATGCATCTCGATATTACACAAATCGTTGATATAGATCAAAAATAGGGTAGGACCAAGAATGCTCCCTTGAGGCACTCCAAAACCCGTATTTTTCTGAAATGGGCTTGTGACGTCATCTATTCTTACACACTGGTAACGGTCATCTAGATAATCAGCAAAGAGGTTCAGTTGTGTGCCTCTGATACCCATACATTCCAACTTCTTTAGAAGCAGTGGAATAGACACAGTATCAAAAGCTTTGGCAAGATCAATAAAAATTCCCAGAACGTGGTTGCCTTTGCCGAGTTCTTCTGATATGAAATCTGTGAGTGTGTGTACTGCATCAGCTGCGGACAATTTTGCTCTAAAACCAAATTGCAGTGGTGACAAGAATTTATTCATTTCTAGGTAATTTACCAATCTGATGTTAATAATCTTCTCAAGAATTTTAGATATCGATGGCAGTAGTGAGATAGGCCTATAATTATTTACTAGATTCTTGTCACCTGATTTGAATATAGGGACAACCACTGCCCTTTTAAGACATTTTGGAAAAATGCCTTTAGAAAGACATTCTCGAAAAACATGAGTCAGGGGTGAGACAAAAATTTCCTTATATGTTTTCAAGATTTTATTGCTGATCCCATCACAGCCAACTGCACAATTGTCTTTCATTCCAGTTATGATTCGTGCAATTTCCTGTTCGTCTGTATCCAATAAAACGAATGATTTTTTAGTATTTGAGTGTAGTAAGGTTGTATTAGTCCGGGTTGTAGAGTCTAACTGCAACTGTTGAGCGAGGTTTCTACCCACATTTAAAAAGTAGTTATTTACATTGTTAGCAGACTGAAGCGAAGTAGATTCTGTTAGTAGTAAATTCGAACATGATTCTCGTTGTTTGGACGTATAAGTTACATTTTTTATGTGTTGCCAAAGCCTCTTACTATTTTTACCCGCCTGATGTAACGCGCCTTTATCGTAATCGATTTTAAGCTTCTTCAGCAGATTATTGCAAAAGTTCCTGTATCTTTTGTATGTTAATTGTAGATCAAAATTATCAGGTGAACGTTTTGCTCTATGATGTAGTTTGTCCCGGTGTCTGATACATCTAACAAGCCCAGGCGTAATCCATGGCTTTATGTTGTAATGTCTGTTATTAGTTTTTATTACTGTTGTAGTACGATGAATAGCTTGTTCAACGTTATTTATTAAATACGACATCGAGAGGTTGACATCAGCAGAATTATAAATCGGTGCAAAGTCGATATTGCGTAAAACATGTTCGAGTTTCTTTAGGTTTAATTGTGACCTAGTTCGGTGACGATTTTGCTTCGGAAGCGTGAAGTTAAGGATAAGCAGAACGGCATGATGATCGGTTAATGTAGAGTTAGTAACAAGGCTAATATAGTTTGAGTTGGATTTAACTCGTCGAGTACCGGTTTTATAGACACAATTAAAGAACAATAGGTCGCGGTCACCGGTGACCGCTTGGTGTTTGACAGATTAACCATCATGTGATCCAGACAGGAGCCACTTTGGTGTGTTGACAATTTATGAGCAGCGAGGAGTCCATGAAATGCACATAAATTAAGATAATCCTGTATTCCTGCATCAGAAATCTCAGAATTGATATTAATGTTTATGTCACCTGTTAGTACAATATTTCTAAAGGAGGTTAGTGTTTCACATGTCTGGTTTAAGGAATTGAGAAAGGAATCTAAATTTCTAGTGGAAGGTGGCCTGTAAATAGCTATTATTGCTGTAATTGTATCTACCTTAATGACCAAACAATTGCATCCTGGTGTATTAGGTTCCTCTACAGTAACTCTTAATGACTCTTTTGCATAGACAACCACACCTTCATTTTGGCTAGTATTCACGGTATTACAAAAGGAGTTATATCCCTGAATATCAGGTAGGTTAACACATTTACTTTTAAGCCAACACTCTGTTAGAATGATTATGTCACATGAGAAGTTAAGTCTTCCTAGAAGAACATGAAAATTATCTATATTTTTGTATAAGCTACGAATGTTTTGAGTGAGAACAGTTAGTGACTTTGGGAAGTTGGATACATAGCTTTTGCAATCTTCAACCTCACAAGAAGTAGATATATTTGAAAAACAATTGTCAATATCATTAATTAAGTTAATGGCCATTTAACAAGTAAACTTAGATCTAAAATTAAGAAAAAAGAGTGGCGCTCTTAGGCGCCTTCATAATTTACAGAATTCATATACCTATTTTCTGCTGCTTTTTTGGCTGGGCAGTCAATATCACCAGTTTGGTGGTTGCTCGGCTTTTTGAAGCGGGCGCAAGTAGCGCATTTCGGCGGAGCTCCTTTCTTAGGGCAGTCTTTGATAGAGTGGCCCTCATCTCCGCAGTGACCACATGTTGGAGCGGCAGCCTGGCACGACTTGGCTGCATGACCATACTGCTGGCAGTTGTAGCATCTGGTCACTATAGAGAAGTCTCTCACAGGGCAGGATGTCCAGTTGATGAACAATCTATCTTGCGTTATGAGGGCTTTACGTAGGGCGGCTGAAACTTCAATGATGAAGTTGCAGTGGTCGGCATCTCTCCTTCCTGATTTATGGCTCAGTTTTATTGAAGCCAGGAACGCATCACGGGACAAAGAGGGAAGCTTTTCGGCAATATTTTGTTCAAAAATGCATTTGAACACTTCCTGCTCAGCCATTGAGGTTGGGATTCCTAAGACAATTAGTCGCGGATTACGTTTCTTCGGCTCATCAACGGTAAGTCCAGTGGAAGAGAGCTGGACTGACTTCTTTAGCTTTTCCAAGTCCTCTTTTGTTTCAGTGCTAATAATGACACCGCCGTTACGTATCTTGCGAACGCCACGTACTTTTAAGTTGAGTTCTCCTGGGCAAATGGCTTTTTGTACAATGTTCTTAGTTTCGTCGCTAGTCTTTGATTTATCACTGGGATAAATTGCAACAGAGCTTAATGGGCTTGGTCGAACAAAGTTGTTGGCACCTTTTTTCACCATGTCGGCAAAAGAGCTATTTTGTGGCACGGATTTGGAGCAGGACTCTTTTATCGTTTCTTTAATTTGCGTTAAAGAAACAGCAAGGTCATTTTTTTCTTTGAGGTCCTGTAAGGCATAGTGTTGTATCAATGCCTTATTCTTCAGGGCTTGGTATTGCACAGTGACGTGGGTGAAACCTTGGGATACTTTTCGGCAGAGGTTACTAATTTTCAATTTCTGTTCGGAGTTCAGTTTGCCCTCGGAAGAAATATTGCAGATTTCTTGTAGGTATCTCTCAACTGATCCTGTCCATTGGTGAAGGTCTGATGTAGATACAACTTCAGGTGGGTCAATTTGGACTGGTTGTTCCCGGCACGGTGTTGTCGGCGGAGGGGTGCGGCGAGTAATCCCGCTCCGGTTGAAGGGGCTGCTGTCCATATTACTCGTCGTTGTACACACTTATTGTCATAATTTGGTTTAGTTTGTAGCACTTTACTCACATATAAAATTAAACGCAAAGTAATTACCAAACTAGGTCACTATTAATTAAATTCTTCAATTAAGCAATATTATTTTGCATCAATGTACACGTCTATACGCGTTAGAAGTCAATACTACTCCCTTAGTTAATAATAACATAGAAAAAAAACCTAAAAAAAAATATCAAACGATAATTAAATAGAATTAACGATACGTAGCAACCTTAGTACTACATCCCCACTTCACTCTGGTACGTATTCTGTGAGAGGGTGGTACCTACTTCCGAGATCAAGCTCCAATCCATTCAATTTATGTAGGTACTTATAAAATCCATCACCACCAATAAAAGGATATTTATTTGCAGCCATGGCTAAGTCCTACAAGATGGTGTACCATCGCCCCGTCTACGAGAACCTGGTGAATGAGCTGCGCAGCATGTGGCCGAGGGGCGAGGTGTCTGACGAAGAGCATGAGATCATCAGCTCCGCTCTGCGACACCTCAACTATGTTATTCAAGGTACCTGTACCTGGAAAAAGTTCGGGTTTATCAGAGAGCGCTGCTGTCCAGTGTTTGTCTAATGTGTTAGTGTACTATATGTAGTTCCTTTGTCGTCTCTTATATCTACAGAAATGTTACAATGCTAGCTGTGCCTGCGACTTCGTCCGCGTGGAAAAGTGATTCACAGCTCCTCCCCCGTAGGAGATAGGGTGATAATATGTAGCCTATGTGTTGACCCGACCTGTTTGTAATATTCATGAAAAATTTTAAGTAAATCCATGCAGCATTTTTTGAGTTCATCCCGGACATTCATACCTAGGTACCTAGATACATACAAACAGACAAAAAATCTAAAAACCATATGTTTGGCTTCGGTTTCGATTGTAGACGACGCCGAGTCGAGATTATTTTCACAACCAATAACATGGCGGACCGCGATCAAGCCCACTTCGAGAATTCGAGTTGACATCTTACAAAATAACCTAGCTGTTCATAAGCGGTTGTTCCGTTTAATTGTTTCGTCAGGTGCATCTTATTATACAAACCTTGTGGAATCTAGAACAAATTTCCGTGCGTTTAGGCGCTTTTGCCATAACTATTATTGGAAGCAAGTATAACAGCTCGCACATAAGACCCACTTAGTTTTTAGTCTTTCCGTGGTGCTTGGCGACTGGGCTTCACCCAGTTGTACAGTCTTTTTTTTGTGCCTATAAGCTTAATTCACTCTGCCTCCTGCAGTAATTCACCGAGGGAAGTGGAAACTATCGTTTTTTTTTTCTTCTCCTCTTATAATATCTTCCGATTCACTTCGTTGCGGGAACCAAGACAATTATCCACGTCCTTCTTTTGGACTTCAGTGTTCCGGTGTTTTCATATTTGTATCTACTGGAGATCCTGGCTTACAGGAGTTGCAGCGGTTCTGGGAGGCTGTGGCGGGCTTGTCCATAAAAAAAAAATGTATGTACCTAAATTAATTCATTTTAGGTTACTACTGGTGCAACAACGCCCTTCTGGTGATCTTCCTGTCCCCACCATTCGTGGAGATATTGAAGATAGCGATGGGGCACGACACACCGCTCATACTGCCATTCTTCTACTGGTTCCCCTTCGATCCCTTCCAAAGAGTTTACTATGAGGTCATCTTGGCTGCACAAACTTGGCATGGTAAGCAAGTATCACATAATAGAGGTATTACGCTATTTTGGCCCCGAAAGGACAAGTAGAATAGGGTAGACGACTAATTTTTATTTTAATGTCCGTCTAGTAGATTATTTCAAAACATTAGACACGTATTTTTTATTTTCTTACGGAAACGAATAGTTTCGAAGATATATTGATTTAAAATGTCGCGTGACGTCACTTCTCAGTAAATTTTATACTACGTTTTAGCCCCCACTCATTAGTTTTATTATACGACAAAATAAAAAAATACGTGTCTAACATAACATAACATCACGATTTTAATCCTCGAAAGGGTAGGCAGAGGTGCACATTATACCACTGTACAATGTAACACCCACTTTTCATTATTTATGTTATAAGTCCCATGTAATAGGGGGTGAGCATATTGCCATCTACCAGGCACAGTTCCAGACTTCGTGCTACTACTCAGAATTTTTAAAAACGCGATACTTTGCCTGACCCGGGAATCGAACTCGACACCCCTTGCCGCAAGTCGCAATTGCGACAACTAGGCCAACGAGGCAGGCCAACGTGTATAATATTTTTTAATTGCCTTACTTACGGACTAATTATATTTTTAATTGTCATACCCTGTCATCATGCCCATTGTACTTCTTCCTTTTTAGGGATTAGGGAAAACACAAATTATAGGTAAAGTAAAATAATTTTTAATTACTTAACGATGGATTTTGGCTCAATTTTATGGAGCATGTAGCTAGCATGTAGCCATTTTTGCAAAGTACCTACTTGTACCTTTAACGGGACAGTCCCGTTGGCATGAACACTTGAGAACACTGCAAATTATTGACACGCATTTCGTGAACTGAAACTCCATCTAGTCATTATATAATCAAAGTTATACTACCTAATAAAGAAATTCATACATTTAAGTTTAGCTACCACGAGGGAAATTAATCTCTGTCACCCAGCACAAAAGGTTCATTCTCGATAAGCTAACGTTCAACGTTTACAAAACTGCAACTTTATCGCGATGTGCTGTCAAAAGATGACAGTAATTAATTTCGTCCTTTCATCTAAATATTCTTAAGGCTCATGACGTAAAGGATGCCACCAACAGATGGCGTTGCTGTAGCTATCCATCTATCACGTTGTTTTGAGTTGCATTTGTTACTTACTTAAACGATAATGTTCTACTCCTAAAACTGAACAATCATCTATAATTTTAATATTTATAACTGGTATATAATGTACACCTCTGCCTACCCTTTCGGGGATAAAAGGCGTGATGTTATGTAACTGTTATACTTGATTAATAATTGCTTATTCAAAATAAAGAAAATGTTAAATAGAAATGTTTAATAAAAATAATATAATAATTATGCAAACCGCTATTAAAATATCTACGCTATTCGGCAGGTAGGTACTTACTTAGAGTTCCGTTATAAAATGGAGACAACAAAATTTTAATATATATTACATACCTAAGTACCATCATTCGTATATATAAGGAATTCTTAGGTATGTTTTACAAGTTCGCGCTTGACTGCTAAGTAGACAGAAGACTTAAAGTTGACTTACAATGTATATCACAGAACACAGAGAACCTCTTGCTCTTTCTTTCAGTATTTATTTTCATACATATATTTCAATGATGATTTTCATATAATCGGTACTCATTTATGTTTCAACAGAGGTTTTTTAAATAGTTCCGTAAATAAAAGAACAACCAAATAATGGTTTTAGTTTGTTACTTCGTACCGCAAGATGGCGCTGTCCGAAACTTTAACATCACACAACTTAAATGTTGCCAAACAAAATCTTGATCAGTGCGTACTCTTGAGTTACAACACTGGCGCTCATTGCATCCGTATTGCGTGGACATTGAATGAACTAAATGGTATTGAGTTTGGCTTTATATTCCGTAGTCTAAATGCTATTGTAACAACTATTGTGATAATTATTGAGATTTTATTGGATTAAAATTGCATTGACATTGAGATCGGTTTCAAGAGTAAGCACACAGGTTTTTCTGGCAAATTATATTTGGTACATTGCATATTACAATTGGTAGGTAACATTCATTAAATTCTAATCCACGATAGTTGGTATAGTAAAATGTGAGTTGAAAAATTGAGATTTTATTTATTTATATTTCTTGCCACATACATTTATAACATTTTTTTAATTAAATTCGTAAAGTCTGAACTTTTCCATAATTCCTAAACATTTTATGAAAGAAATATTTACTTAGAAGAAGTTGAAGAATAAAATGAGATTTTTTTTAAATGGTAAAATACAAAATGCTATTAATAAGATTAAAATCATCATTATAGAATGGAACAGTTGCATTAAACACTTTTTCAACACCAAAATTCTCGTAATAATTCAGTGTAACTAAAATCACAAATCTTAACAGACCAAGCCACAAATTATGAAAATACACTTGAAACCTCTGTAATAATATTGTTCAAATTGTTATTTATCTACTTTTTATTCTGAATTTTCACCACTATTACTTGAACTTATCTTAGAATCCATATTTAATTCGTTCATTTTGGCGTAAAATATAACTTCAGATATTAATTTCTCTGCTAAACACCTTTGTAACTTGGGAAGCTCTTTAAGCGTGCAAGTTATAGATTTCCCAAAGGCTTCAGCAGTCTCATCATCATCATCCTTCTGCTCCGGTGTTTCTGCAAATGTTCTTCTTTTCGCCCTTTTGGGTTCAGGCCCCTAAAATTTGAAGAAAGAAATATATTACATAACCACTCTAATTTCATTTACAAGCTCTAATTCTGGGCAAATTATTTTTATGATTTAACTGTTATTTTTAAAGTTCAAAATTCTGTAATTACACCCCAACAAAATGAAAACAATGTAGGATTCGATTTACTTGAACCCATGAAAACTAAAGTTAACATTCATGGTAATAGTTAATTAATTGCATATTTTACTCATCAAAAATACATTATGTCCACTTTTCAATACAATGAAACGTCCAGAAACAACCACACTTTCATTACTTTTTAGCGATAATAATTTTATGTTCCGAGCATTTTTTTTAATAAATAAATTATTGAATACACATTATGATATTATTGAATTTGTATTTCATACATTGACATTTCAATAAAAGCATTGAGTTTGACTACTTAAAGTCAAAATCAAAATCGTTTATTTCAATTAGACCAGTAAGGCACTTTAAAACGTCAATATTTTTTTAAAAAAGTGACGCTGTAGTCTATATTATTATTCTCATTCCAAGGTGTAGATTCCTATGGAGAAAAACGAACAAGAAACTCCATAGGTTACACTTTTTCAATCAGATCAATCAACTAGTTTTAAAATATTCTAATAGTATCTACATAAAATATAATTATACTTACATAAGTTAAGTTTGTATCGCTATCATAATCCAAACTAGTATAATCTTGATCCAAAAACTTTAAATTATTAAAATACCAAAGTGTCGGTGTGTATGGCTGACCGTCAACTAAACCGTTCTCCACCTAGAAAAAAATAAAAATTACTTGTTACTAATTAATATTTAAAAATATAATGTACTGAATAAAATTTAAAAATATCTGGTAGTTACAAACGTAATCTAAAAACCACAAAATTATATCACAATGAATTTTATCATAATTAAATTTATTTACTGTAATTTCAAGTCAATTTTAATACTTAAGTGGCAACTCTAATAGTAAAATGTTAATGCACTCACAATCACAATACAATGTTTAGGTTAATACTTTTTACTTGGATACTTTGTTTACTTTGAATCCAGTAAAAAGTTTTATTAATGTAAAATTACGAACCTTCTTCCTTTCTCGTTTGTATGCTGATCGCATATTCTCTATTTTCTTTTTTAATGTGTGTATTGTGGCCGTTTTATCGTATTCAAGATAATACTCTAACAATGATTCGTACGCTTCTTTTCGAACTTCGCGATTATTGTAATGTTTATGTGTAATATCCCACAACACGGGTAAATCACGATATTTTGACAAAACTTCGAGGAGCAAGTCTTGTTCTGTAATCAAGACTACTTTGGCGGCCATTTTGTTATGATGCGCGCGCACGATCTCCTCACAACACAACCGTATCGGACCGCGTTCAGGTCGCCACTGAACGTTAGGAGATTGGACGCGACCCGGTCGGATCGGATTTGGCGCGGAAAGTTGGCAAAAATTTTAAATAAAGATTTCGATGAGCCGAGTTAACCCGGTACCCGTTGTTAATGATGTCCACAAATTATATACAACTATTTTTTTTCTTTTCTCAATTGTTTCTTGCGTTTTATATCTTCCCTGGACCTTCACGAACATTTCAAGACCAAAATTACCCAAATCGGTTCAGCCGTTCTCGAGTTTTAGCGGGACTAACGAACGGAACTTCTGACTACCTCGTTAGCCGAGTGGTCTCAAGGGCTACTGCCGGGCAAGGTGCCTCGGGTTCGATTCCCGGGTCGGGCAAAGTTTTACAGGGTTTTTAAAAAATTCTCAGTAGTAGCACGGAGTCTGTCTATTACATGGGAATCATAACATAAATAGTGAGAAGTGGATGTTACATTGTACAGTGGCATAATGTGCACCTCTACCTACCCCTTCGAGGATAAAAGGCGTGATGTTATGTATGTTATGATAACGAACAGAAATTCATTTTTATTTTAAACAATAAACAATGAGTTATTTATAAGTACTGCTACATAATTTTATCTAATATATTGTTTTATACGTATAATAATAGGTACGGTATCTAATGTCTATACATTTTGTTCTTTGTTCGTCTTTTGTTCCCCAAAGGGGTAGACAGAGGTCCCCGCCTAGGGTTGCCACCCGTACTTTATAATAAAGTATTGTACGTTAGTTAAGGTAATTGTACTCTATACTTTATAAGAATAGTGAAAAGTGGGTGTTACATTGTACAGTGGTATAATGTGCACCTCTGCCTACCCCTTCGGGGATAAAAAGGCGTGATGTTATGTTATGTTTATAAGAATAATAAAGTACACGAAAATACTTTATTATTGCAAACTTCATTTCTGTTAAAGTCGTATTTTTCGGTAAACTTATCGATTTATGTTGAATCGATTTTGCCACTCGCAGCGCCACTTAGACAATTACTAGTAAAGATGCAATTGTTTAGTATTTCAATGCAATTGTTTAGTAAAGATACTAATTTAATACAAACTGCAAAAATCAATAAAAAATATATTTATAAATATAATACTACTTAAATAAGAGTAAATTGTACTTTATTTTTGTACTGTGTACTTTTTTTCTTACCTATAATCGTCAATGCACTTTAAATACCAAAAAAAAGGTGGCAACCCTATCCCCACCATATAGACAAAATGTGGTGAAAAATGTAGGTATTTCTCTACGGTCACCGTCGTATGTATTTGCAATCATGGTGATATTATTTGTTCTTTTTACAGGTCTGATAACAATATGGTTTATGTTGTGTGGGGATTTATTGTTCTGCATTTTTCTGAGTCACATCACCACCCAGTTCGACCTCCTAGCAGTCAGGATACGCAGACTAGTCTACGTGCCGGTAGACAAGCAGCTGGTCCATACTTATCCACTCGGTATGTACTACCTATATACCTATAACAGCTGGTAAAACATAAGGACAACGAAAAGGTTTGTTTCTTCTTTACCGAAGTATTAAAACACCTCATAATAATTACTAGTTAGTAGTTATATTAATACTAGCTTTTACCCGCAGCTTCGCTCGCGTCACTAAAGGATAAAAGTAGCCTATGTGACATATACCATTACACACAGCGCCATCTATACCAATTATTTTGTTTTCCCTCGGGAATATCGAAATTTTCCGGGATAAAAAGTATTATTTGATAAGGACTTCTAGTTAGAAGTAGTTCTTCTAGTTTTTTGCAGACGTAAAGTTTTACGTCGTAAGGATAAGGATAGATAGGTCTGTACCTAAAATATTTTACAATTTTTTTTATGGCATAAGCCGGTAAACGAGCATACGGATCACCTGATGGTAAGCAATCGACGTCGCCCACGGACACCTGGACCACCAGAAGCGTTACAAGTGCGTTACCGGCCTTTTGGGGATTAGGAGTTTGAGGATCGTTGGGAAGTCGGGGATTGGGGAAGAGGAGGGGGGTAATGGGGACTCCGGTAACCTCACTCACACAACGAAACTCGCACGTCGGTTTTCTGTAAGGCTGTGATATCACTCCGGTCGAGCCGGCCAATTTGTGCCAAAGCATGGTCTCCCACACTTATTCTATATCTATCTACATTAAGTATTATTTAGTATGAGTAACAAGTTAAATGCTACTTACTGTTTACACGTTTTCATTTATCTTGCAATGTATGTATGCAACTTCTTTTTACTTAGGTACCTATAACATCATATGTATGTAGGTAATGTATGTATAAATATTGCTAGGCCGTCTTCGACTACGCTGGAGAAATTGGGTACACAATGTGAAATTTTTCTTTTTTTAACATTGCAACGTTAACTTGTAGCGGGTGTGTGTCCGTCGTAAAAATTGTCGGTCATTCGGGGCTCCCTAAGAATAAGGGCCTTGGCCACGGGCCCCAAGGGCCATTATGGTAAAGATGACTGTACACTATTGACATGTAAATTATTAAAACACGACAAATTCATATTTACTTATCTAACTATTTAATAGACTTACTGATTTAAACTCTTATACGAGTATTTGTATGTCTAAAATAGGTTGATCATAGCGCACTTTAATCTAAAAATGACCAACCAAATGTACCTATGTATCACAAATAAAGGTTTCATTTCATTTCTGTATGCGTGTGAAGTGAAATACTGACTACATTTTGAACCAGATATCTTCAACCGATTGAGCTATAACAACCAATCCCTTAAAAACCTTGCCTCTTCAAAACTTATTCAATAATCCAAACAATTTTTCCGTCATAAAAGCGAAAGTAAAGGATCAACAATAACAAGATCAAAGGCTTTCAAATTAACAAAAGTTTGTAATTAAAACGAGTTTATTGGTACGTTAACGTCTTAGATTGGGTTTGACGTTTGAAGTCAGTATCCCGCCCTTTTACCCAGGGCCGGATTAACTGCGTAAGCCCTGTGAATTTGGTTCTTTCCCTACGGAGTCCATATAGGACCTTCAACAGTGATTTTTTACGGTGTACTGTAAAGCTGCGTAAGCGTAACTGTTTAGGAAAATTTTTTTAAGGGAGAAAATCATCGAATTACTTCTATCGCCTGGGTGAGGCGGGAGGGAGTGTTAGACTCTCTTACTGACTAAAAACCACCCCGTTCCTAGTCCTGCACTTCGAGCTGGAGCCCCGGTAACCCCTTAAGTTCTCCGCGGTTCCGATGTTTAGGATACTTAACTACAATAGTACTTACTGTAGTTTCAAGGCACAGCAAACTATGATAATCATGAGCACACGACGTACTGTTTGCTTATACCTACAAGGAATAAAAATCATAATGTCATTTCGTGCAATGATAAACAAAAAAACCGTAGCAAATATACCTAAGCGACTATGGGGCCAGCACGAACTTAATTTCTTAATCCATCTCTGTCTTTACCTTGATTAAATGGCGCTGTGCCTCATACGATGTCTGTAGACGACAGAGCGAGAAATACAAAACTTAGACACTCATATACTTCATAATGAATTTGTTTGAATGCCCTTAGCACTTTGATATTTCGACTAAACTTAGGCTTTGTCCTGCATTTTATCTCTAATCTAACGTTTAAGCTTCGATAAAGCGATGAACAATTGTTCTTGATACCTTGATTCTACGATTTATTTGTCGATTACTGAGCTAGAATCGAAGAAACGATTTCCTAATCGAGCTTTGTCAAAAAGTTATCCGATCTAAGTAAGTACCTAATTACAAGGACTTCAGAGTTTATTTTTGAGGGAGGAAAATCATCCAATGGTTTCTCCCGCCTTGGTTTAGGCGAGAGGGAGTGTCAGACTCTTACTGACTAAAAACCTACTACTCCTGCTTTTTGAACCGGAGCTCCGGCAACCCGTTAGGCCTTCCGTGGCTCCGTATGGGCATCAGCCATATTGGGCACCATCAGTGGTGGGTCTAATGGCTCTTCGAAGCGCGCGCGGAATGCGACGCGCCGTACGCACGAAGGACTTTAGACCTAGATACTTAGTATTTTACACCTGGATAATGGTGAAAAATATATCCTTTAATACTTCAACACTAACACAAACAGCTCTGAACTTACTAATACATAACTGTATAAGAAAAAAATCTTTTTCAAATTTCAAATTCAAATTCTAAACAGATAAAGGGGATCAAATTAACAAAACCCGTGTTTCCTATTACGATCCGTAGCAATGTCGTTTCAAGCCAATCTCTGCCGAGACAGATTCTCTAATTAATCAATCTCCCGACTGTTTCCATTTCCATTACTAATAAATACCCGTAGGCACCGTCCTTTGTATTTAAAAGATGAGAGATCACACTAATTATAAAAAATCATGATAACATTATGTTTTTAGTTTAGGTGAATAAATGTAAGACTGTGCTAAAACAATATTGCTTCAAATTACAATGGTCTCCAATGTCGGAATGAATAAGCAGAAGCCGGTAAACGAGCACATGGATCACCTGATGGTAAGCAATAGACGTTGCTCACGTACACCCGGAATACCAGAGATGATACGTTAAGTGCGTTATCGGTATTTTGGGGATTAGGAAGGATTGTGGGGTATTCGAATGGGAAGATTGGGAAGCAGGGTAATTGGGCCTAACAAATACATAATTTCACATTATTACATCACACTTAGACACGCAATAACAATATTAGTGTATCGTACCCGCATCAGTGCCCAAGCTAACCTAATACGTCTTGTCGCGGACAACCTAACGGGTAACCGGGGCTCCGGCTCGAAGCGGAGGAGTAGGAACGGGGTGGTTTTTAGTCAGTTAGATTCTGACACGTCCGCCTCACCCAGGCGGGAGAAGTCCACCGATTGTTTTCCTCCCTTAAAAAAACCTAATACGTCTTAATAGACGACTTCATGAAACAACACATATACTTAGGTAATGAAGATTTTTTTTCAGGTGAATATTGCCAAGGCTATGCTCAAAAGAATAAGGGTATAATAGACACATATAATGACAAGGATTGGGAAGACAAACATCAGAGAGATCTCTCCGATATTATAGAGAGACATCGAGCTCTAGTCAGGTATGTATGGTCACTATTGAATAATTTATCAATTTATAAAAACTTTGCTCCACACTTGGACCTTATCCTGTGTCGTGGATACGCTTACAAACATAGGTTTAATTTAGTTATAGTTAGGCATAGTTAATACATTTTTAAATTGATAATTGCAACGCCAAATCACAGCATTGCAATTATCAGCTTATGTTTTCTACTTACTCACGTAACTGTTTGACGAAGAACTCGACTAGTTTCAAGTCATCCTAGAGGCTCATATTCATGAGCAACATTGCGCATTACTTTAATATGTCTCACGAAAGTTAATAGGAATTTAATAGGAAGTTAATAGGAACATTTACAATTAATTATTTACCTAGCTTCTTACCTACCTAGCTTAAATCCGGGATACATTTTATCTCTGTCTCTTTGATCATGATGATGATATCACACACGACTGCATTCATTGCAAGGTACGGTATGACAGCTGTGGTGTTGGATTCAATACATGGGTTCGAACATTTTAGCAATAGCACAGTCTGCAATGTTGCACCGATTACGGGAAGGTTAATTCCCTCCACCAAATCGGAAAGGGAAAAAAATTTTAACGTTATTTTATTATCATACCTATTGACAAGCGTGGTATGAATTTAAATCCCAACAAAACTAAATTAAATCAAGCTAAAATTTTACTTCAAAGCAAAGGCAAGCGCTCTAAGCTTTTCATTTGCAGTATGCAGTTTACTTTATCAATAAAATTCGACTTATCCCCAAGCAAGTCGGGTCAACTCGATTCTCATTTTGGCGTTGAATCGATTTTAAACGATAGCGATTCATTCCATCATTTGCATGTAAAATGTTACACAAAGGGATTTTCGCGCAGATGGTCCACACGGCTACACGGAAAGCTATGCAAAACCAGTATAAACTGACTGTTGAATGTGCGGAGAGATCATACAAAGCTAGACCATGATGTACTGGTTTTGTGTAGGTTTATCCATTTGTGTAGCTATCAATTCTGGATATTTTATCGTATACGAATGCAGATAATTTTATGTTTTGTCTAATAGGAACTTACATTACATTTATTAAGTTGTTTGCGATCTTATAGATAAGTTACATTGTTCTTAGACAAAGATCAAGGTCGATTTGAAATGTTTTTAAGCAAACGAAGGTAAATATTAAAAAGCAAAAAAACAAACTTGCAAGATTCTATTACATTACAAGCAGACGAACAAACATCGGAACAGGTGAAACTACTACTTTTACTTTAACCTATTTTATTCCCAGGCTCTCCGGTGATGTGGAAGAGATGTTCAGCTTTGCTTTGCTCGTCAACTTCTTCAACAGCTCTATTATCATCTGTTTCTGTGGCTTCTGTTGTGTTGTGAGTACATAAAGATAAAGACATTTATTTGCATAGAAACATGGTATACAAAGATGTTATAGTTAAGAGTAGTAAGTGTAGCCCGTGTATCATGTGAAATTGGACCCGGTTTAAAAGGCTTGCTACCTACTTATAAGGGCTATTAAACCCGTATTATCCCTAAGGCAAACTGGACAAGTGCCTAGGGCGCTAGGTTATAGTGAGGCGCCGCGACGCCACGAGACATGCACGCCCATAAAGTAGCGCCGGCGCAAAAATCAAAAATAGGGTCGCCTTTGAGATGGTTGCCTAGAGCGCCCTTTTGGTTTAACGGAACCCTCAGTACTTTTTTAAAATAATCGAAACGAAACCGCGTTCGGCACTCTAATTGGCCAGCTCCAATGCACCAACCAATCAGAGTGCTGAACGCGGTCTCGTTTTGAATACTCTAAACGTGAAACAAACTCGTTTTAATGCCTCAGGTCAAAAATGGTTATTACGTTGTAAGTATACTTGTCGTGTATCCTACCCAGGTAATCGGCGATTAAAAGGCCTTTTTTAAACGTTTTTGGCGCATAGTAGACAAGAAATACTTCCACAAATTTTTTAAAATAGGCACGGACATAACCACGTAATCTGGCTCGCCTCCTATTACATGGGACTCAGCACATTTGGTATAAAGTTCAATGTTAAACTGCGCACCTCCGCTTATCTCTTTGAAAAATAAAAGATGTGATGTTGACAACTCAACCAAAGAAGTGAATAGCACATTAGCACCCTATAGCACCCATCCTTAGCCAAGTTGGGAAGTTGTTATCAGATAAAACACCTCGATAAGTATACTCCAAGCATAAAGGCTTGAGGAAAATGCACCGGCATCCTGTCAGTAATGGCAGGTGCTAACATTTTATTTGTTTGTTTTGTCTGACTGTCTATTGACATAGGTATAGTTGTAGGCACGTGACGCGTCCAAAAGCGTAAACAAAGGCGTGCCTATATATTTCTTAGAAGTACTGCCACACTACAAATTGCTGACTATTGGCAGTCTAGCTAAAGACTTGTCTTTTTATCAGCGATTGTCGTAGCCTAAGTACAGTGGCGTAGCGTATCTTGACGGGGCCCCGTATAAAAATTAGTTTGGGGGCCCTTATGAAAGGTAAAAATTTCTCAGAAGATATTTTTTTACATAAAATACCTCCTCTACCCAAATTATCGGACAATGATTAGGTACTTTAGTTTTTCCAAAGTTTCTGCCATAGAATAGATTTTTCTATTCCATGGTTTCTGCCAACCTTTGAACGCATGCATTTTGTGATTACTGAAATAAAATATAAATTTGATATTTTTGCTTATACACGTTGGGGGCCCCTGTAGTCTGGGGGCCCCATAACTGATACGACAGATACGGCGCTAGCTACGCCCCTGCCTAAGTAACTGAAGGCCCGGTAGTGACCCACTAGTTCGTCTAATTCGGAGGCATCACAATTTCGTTGCTGACTATGTAAAATATTGGTTTGTCGTTAGATAGTGGAGAAATGGAACGAGATGGTTTACAAATCATTCATGACGACGGCGTTGTCGCAAACATGGCTGCTCTGCTGGTACGGACAGAGGTTACTTGAGTCGGTAAGATAAGATGGTATACATTATCAGGTTTAATCGCGCTCACTTTGGTCTTTAAATATACCTATAAGTAATGTTGAAAACTGAGTGATAGGTATTTTTTACCTTAAACCACCCTTCGAGGTTTAAATGAGGTGATGTAATTTTAATTTATATATAACATTTATATATACAGTTCATGTTAAAAATAAAATCACGAATAAAAAAGGTCAAATCAAAATACAGAAACCATAAACAAGTAAAATGGCTACAGGACATATGAATTGTCCAATTTGTTTTTGCTCGATTCAATAAGGAAGGAAGGATACATATCCGCAATTTCCATTTATTAGCGGTCCACGGACTTTTTCTTACTTATGTACCTACGGCTACAGATCAAGCAATACATAACCAGTATAAAGAGACCATTGAACGGGTCGAAAGATCATACAAACCGAGACCATGATGAACTGGTTAAGTATAGCTTGATGCGTACGTGAATTTTAAGGAAGAAGGAACCTTATGTCGTCTTCCTTTTTTAAATAAGGTGCATCCTTGAAAGTCATTACTTAATGGTAGATAGCATGACTTGCAAAGCTGTGACCCCATTTTGTTTAAATAGGGCAATTTGAAAACAACGTAGAATAGGAAATCTCAAAGATACTTCGTTCTATACTATATAGATAGAGAAACTATTTATGTGGGTATTATAAAACATTATTTAAAGTTTGATTGCCGGTCCTAACACGCAGGAGAGCTCCTCCTAACATGGAGTTAGGAATTGGTTACTTGCCTAAATGAAAAATAAATAACATATTTATTGCGACAATCTATTACAAAACAGTAGTTACCCACTAGATTTGAATATTTGAAGCGGCTGCACCAACGCATGCAGCGATATTTAGAAGATGTGATGGCGCAAGGGTGTCAATAAAATGTTAAAAATAATCACCCTGTCATTAATTGCTAATATGACCAACTTAATTTTAGTATTTATCCAGCAAATTTAAAAAAAATAAAAATGTTTTTTGTCACTAAAAAAACGTGACGTCACCATACACAATGTCGTACAAAATTCAAAGAAAACTGTAGTTTTTCAAAGTTCGAATAAAGTATTGAATTTGGCTAGTTGGCAAGTACCCAATTGTTCCCAGTGTAAGGCAATGGGTTCACCTCTATTGCATGGGACTCCTGATATATCACAACGTCATCATTCCTACCTTTCGAGGCCTAAAATGCATGATTTTTTTATGTAATCATCCTAGTATGTCATATTCTAGAATCAATCAATAAACGTCTTTATTCTTACAGAGCCAGGGACTATCGGATGCCCTCTACGAAAGTGGCTGGTATAAAGCATCGCAAAAGATTAAAAGCTCCGTGCTTATCATGCTTCACAGGTAAATATTTAGGTGAACAATAGTGCTACTCTTATGTGTAGAAATAAAATAATAATAATAATATAATAATAATAATAATAACCTTTATTGTACACCTTAAATAAATGGAATATACATTAGCGTTATAATAAAAAAAAAAAAATAGTAGGGTACAAAGGCGGCCTTATCACTAATAGCGATCTCTACCAGGCAACCTTTGGGTGAATGGAGCATTGTTCGATGAAAGTGGAGGTTGTTCTTGGTGTACTCAGGTACTTATAAATTATATGTACAAGTAAAATATATATTCTCTAAATAAATAGTATATTTAAAATAAAATATAATACTTACATAAGACCTTATACATACAAACATATCCATATAAATATATATACATACAACATATATATATATACTATATATATATATATACACAAATAAAAATATAGCACAGATGATGAATAGGAACAGTAAAAGAAAAAACAAAAAAGAAATAGTAATGGACTACAACGTGGCGAGATAATGGTTTTTCACGAGTGCTTTGAACGTAACAAGTGACTCTGCTTGTCTGACAGAAAGTGGCAGAGCATTCCACAGTCGAACAGCTCGTACTGTAAAAGATCTGTCGAATGATCTACTCGCATGCTGGGGCATCTCAAGCTTCATATCCTCCGACGACCGTACTGGTCTAGAATGTGTGTAAAATGTGCTACTATAAGAATTATATTTAGTACTCCTCTCGCCTGCGATACAGGATTGTCCTAGTACAGGCATTTAACATTGTGAGGACAATTGTACGTATTTACGATATATTCTTGTATTTCGCATTTTTGAATTATGAATAGTTTTATTATTTTATTATTACTCTGAAAGTTAATTATTAAAAACGCTGTAGTCGTTGCGTAGACCTTTCGTAGACATTGCGTAGCCATAGTATAGGATTGTCGTAGATCTTGCGTAGTCGTTGTACGCAACGACTACGCAGAGCCTACGGCTCTTCGTAGAGGCTGCGTAGTCAACTCGTAGCCTTTTCGTAGACGTTATGTAGACTATTCGTAGAATCTTCGTAGCATTTTCATTGATTTTGGGTAGTCAACTCATAGATTAGTCCGCAGATTTACAATAAATAAATGATCAAAACCCAGTTTATTATTTTTTCAGAGCCCAAAAAGATGTGCACGTCACTACGTATGGGTTCTCCATAATCTCATTAGCGAGTTACACAACGGTAAGTTGTTTAATAACGACCATCCAAATACGCAACGTAGGTACTTTACAATCATAAAAATCTAGAATATTGTCGGTTAAAAAGTAGTGTAATGAACAATTTGAGTAAGTTGATGAAGATTTGTCACTCTAAAGCCCCGTATTCATGGTAAACATTTGTATAGCAACAAAGTTGAATCAACGTATTACGGAATTGCTGTCAACATGTTGCTAGCAACACTGCGTGTTGCAGAGTTGATAGCATCATGTTGACAAGCTCTTGCCCGACAAGCAAAAACATCAGTTTAGCGACAATACCACTACCTCCTCGGACAACATTTTAACGCAGACTTACCCCTATACTTATTATACTCTTTGCGCAGACTGGCATGTAGACAACCTGTATTGATTTAAACTGTCAAACACCAAGCGGTCACCGGTGACCGCAACCTATTGTTCTTGTCGCGGAGAACCTAACGGGTAACCGGGGCTCCGGCTCGACGTGCAAGAGAAGGAACGGGGTGGTTTTTAGTCAGTAAGAGTCTGACACTCCTGGCAATCACACGATGATTATCCCCCTTAAAAAAAATAAAAAAACCTATTGTTCTTTAATTGTGTCTATAATGACGGTACTCAACGAGTTAAACATAGTTGCTAGCATCATTCTCACAACTCAACTACAATGTTGATCAATTGTCCCTAAATAAATGTTTACCATGAATTATTAATTATTATTATTTTTATTGGATTGGCAAGCGAGCAGACAGATGACATGTGCAATATGTCGTTACAAATAGCGTTTCCCGTGGAAACTTTCACCCCTGGCTGCTATTTGGCTAGATAACTAATATGTTTAAGTTTGAGGCCAAGTCAAAATTGGATTCAAAAGAAAAGAATTGAGACTGTTCGCCTTGTACTAGACATTGGGATCCCAGGGAGTTGATGCCCAGTACTTTTCCGATCTTCGAGGAAGCATCCTCGAAGACCGGTATTCCTACTATAATTATCATTCATACAGTTAAACAAAGCGTAAGGGCCGGTTTTCTGTAAGTATATTATTTTAATCGTGCCGAACAACTGAAGCGTGATGCTACCACATAAATATATACCTAGGTTGTATTTGAATATACTTACTTATTTGTTTAATGTAATATGTATGTAATTTTTATTTTATATTTATTTCACAGATAATCAAGACATCTTGGTCGTACTTCACTCTGCTTCTAAATATTTATAAAAAGTAAAGCTTTTCTATAATTTTATTTCTTTTAATCTTCGTCAATAAACCCTTTACAATTAACTGTACTATAAGAAATGTAATCAAATTTGTTTGTATAAGAGATTATTTAGCAGAGATGCTATCTATGCAAATGGTTTTGTATTAAATAAAATATCCAGATAGTATCCTTGAAAAGTCATACACTACGCTACCCCGAATAATCAATATTTTATTATAACACTGTGACTGTCCTATATCGAGCAGTAACTATAGCAAAAAAATCTTCAGTTTTAGATTTCGCGGGCTACCTTGAAACATTCTACCTCTATTGCTTTCATTCATTCATTTATTCTACTTCTACTCAATGATGAGTGAAATGAACATTGATTGAGTTCTTCTGGACCGAAACGTCATTTCATTTATTGTCTGTGGTTATTGTTTGTGTCGTGCGGTGTGCAAGTGTGTCGGTAGATAAAAATGTCGAATAAAAAGAATAAGGAAATAGAAGTTCACGATAGTGAAAGTGAAGAAGAACAGCCGTCTGGCGATGAAAAGGATCCAGACTTCGATTCCGATGGAAACTACATCGGTGACAAGGAGGTAAATCAAATTCATAACCCTAAAATCACATGGCATGCCGCCTCGGACCTCGAGTTTTTGTTTATTTTTATTGCGAATATTTCCTGTTTAACTCTCACATCGTTATTTTATTCTATTGTATTTCATTTATTCGATGTTAATACTCGTTTCTTGGCATTGTCTCATTGATTTCACCTTTTTTCTGTTTTCAAAATATTATGAAATTGAATGCAATGCAATCTGATTATAGATACCTACGTGGTGTAGGTACGCGTAACCGATACAGTAGGTAATTAATACTTTTTCTGATTGTTTCAGGATTTGATGGCTGACTTTGAAGGTCGTAATCCCGAGGACTGCGACTTCCACGGCATCAAGCAGCTGCTGCGGCAGTTGTTCCTCAAGGCTAATGTAGACTTGGGTGGCCTTGCACAAATCATTATCTGTAAGTATTTCAAAAATTACAGCAACACCTAATGTTACTTTAGAAAAAAGAAAAAGTTTAATTTTTGCATGGCACCTAGTCATCATGATATCGACCATGGCCTCCCCAATTACGAATATCATAATTTGCTCCTGTAAAAATAGTGTGAGATAGTCTTGTGTATGTACTTGTTGGAGGACCAACGATCCTCCATCACTTTAGATTATCAAAACAAATATAATATAAATTCATGATCTAAGTGAAATGAGAAAAATTATTTCAACTTTTTGTTTGAATTTCAGCTCAAAACTATGTGGGCAGTGTTGTGAAACAGTGTCTAGATGATGGACTGGATGACTTGGATGATGACGAAGATGATGGCAGCGATGGTGTGTTTGGTGTGACCACAGTCATCAATATTACTAAGAGAAAAGTTAGTATTTTACTTATAAAGTAACTTCTTTTTAGGTTTATTCTTATTGGTTGACTAGCTAACTCCCAAAACCGTGTGGTTTCCTCGCTACTGGGCTCTTCTTCATCATATTGTGATGTTTTATAATCTATAACATTTCTCAGTAAATTGACTATTCAACACAAAACAATTTTTTCATCAAACCAGTAGTTATGGATGTTAATACGTTCAAATAAATTTTATCTTATTAGTATGGAAAAATCCCAATAAAATTATTATCAAAGTACATACTTGTACTTTATAATGGGATTAAAATAACTTTGCTTGATATTTCATAACATTACATACTGCATAAGTTATAGTGTCTACATATTACTTTTAGAATAAACAACAACGAGTACAACATCAACAGACTTGTCTTAGTCTATTGATGTTGTACTCGGAATCGTCATCCACCACTGGGCTATGCAAATCCTCAACATAAAAAAGGGTTTCCACAATTTTAAACATTCAGGTTCATCGACACAGCTATATAATGGTTTAATGGTTCCCTACAACACCAGCGATAACAATGTGGAGACAATTTTATTTTGTACTTAGCAATAATAAAGTTATTTCGTAAAGTAAATGTTTATCAATAATTTGTTAGAAAATGGGAACATGTTATGTTTAACTAGATAAAAATATTTCCTGTCTGTGACCGTAATATCATAAATGCACAATAATGAGTCATAATATTATCATATGATTTAACAAATATTTTAAATAAAAATAATGGCATTTGCACGGGTTAATACCATGGTATGCACTTGCGAGCACTCGGCCAATGAGGCAGTAATTTTTTTTTTATAGGTATATTATTTTTTATATTAAGAGTTTAAAATGATTTGTAGTTATTACATATAGGTACTGTACAATATTTGCTTCATTTTTAAATTAATACAAAATCAAATAATTACGTCAATTACAGGAAGAGAACTGCATACAACAAATTAGGACACTGCTCACTACACTAGCAGAGGAAAATGCAGATGACAGGACAAAATCCCTCATCAAGAACATATTGTCCAATGATCAGCAACATGTCGGACTAGTCCTTAATGAAAGGTAAAGACCTAAACATCTTAGAAGAGTATTTGGCTAACTAAATGGTTAATTCTAAGCTTTATGAAGATTGAACTTGACTTTTTTTTATGGCATAAGTCGGTAAATGAGCAGTCGGATCACCTGATCGGTAAGCAATCGGCGTCGCCCATGGACACCTGGAACACCAGAGGCGTTACAAGTGCGTTACCGGCCTTTTGGGGATTAGGAGTTTCAGGATCGTTGGGGATTCAGAAATTGGGGAGATTGGGGAAGGGGAGGGTAATTAGGCCTCCGGTAACCTCACTCACAAGACGAAACACAACGCAAGCGTTGCTCCACGTCGGTTTTCTGTGAGGCCGTGGTATCACTCCGGTCGAGCCGGCTCATTCGTGCCGAAGCATGGCTCTCCCACACTTTGACTTGATGAAACTTAATGTGTACAAGTTGAATAAAACCGGTATATCATGGTCTCGCATTGTATGACCTTTCTGCACATTAAATGATCAGTTTATACTTGTTTTGCATAACTTGATGTGTACAAAAATATGTAATATAATATCAAAGAGAATTCTTCACAACTATTCCAATAGGAACCATTGACGGTGCACTGAAATAATAGATTTCAACACTATTAAATAAAATATTCTAATGTATGAATTATTAAGTCAGTAATTATTGTTATATTTTTCCAGGATCCTCAACATTCCGGCTGCGATCAGCGTGCCGTTGTTTGCGTCACTCCAAAGTGAGATAGACAAAGCTGTTCAAAAGAACATGCCCTATACATTCCAGTACATAATATGGATCTGCAAAACTTACTCTTCAGAAGGTATGTTATTGTTTTGTAAATATCTCACTGACTAACTAACAATATTGATGTTTGTAACATTTTTGTTGTATTCATAATCACATTATAGTACACATCTATTTTGTACGGCAAATGAAATATTGTTCTTGACTTACGCCGTACTTGAAATTACCGCTTCGTAAAAATCGGCAACGCATTTGTAACTATTCTGTTGTTGCGAAGTGATGTTTGTTCTGATGTCTATACAGCAGAAATCAGTAAATACTTAGTTGACGCCTTCACGGTAGCTTTCATAGAATTCTACATAGATTGCTATTACGCTTTTTTGGAATGTTTTTTCCGTGTTTAGCCCTTTTCGAGAATATTTTCAGTGAGGTGCTACGCGTTTACCATTATTACCTTATAACATGATCATTGGTTACTTATTTACAGACGAACCTGGAGAAATATTGTACGCGAATATGGAAGAGTCTAGACTATCGGAAGAGGCGCTGGCTAGCTTTGATGTTAATGTCACTGATCAGACAGATCTCTCACAATGGGACTACGAGGGAGGCACGCTCACACCGTTCAGAAAAGTACGTAAACTTCAAAAACACAGATTATTACAATGGTTCATCTTATACTACATATTATATAAACCGGAAGAGTTTGTTTTTTTGTTGAACGCGCTAATCTCTATAACTACAAGTCTGATTTGAATAATTCTTTTTGTGTTGGATAGTGCTTTTATCGAGGATGGCTTTAGGCTATAAAACATCACGCTACGACCAATAGGAGCTGAGCAGAGCGTGTGAAACCGCGCGGAAGTAGCTAGTGAATATATATTACAAAACTTATGTACTGATAAGTTACAAGTCATTCATTGTCAATCATTTTGTTGGCTTACAAAAGTATATCATTTACGACACATGTTCGCAAGCCGACAGCATAATAAGATTCAATCTGTGTCGAGCATTATTAGCTTAGCTTTAGGTTCTCGGAATATGGATGTGATCTGGAACATGCCTTGTATGGTAAAAACAATTGGTTCCTCTTAAACATTACTTGGGAAAAATTACATAACATATCATAACATAATGCCTTTTATCCCCGAAGGGGTAAACAGAAGTGCACATTATGCCACTGTACAATGTAACACCCACTTTTCACTATTTATGTTATGAATCCCATGTAATAGGGGATGAGCCTATTGCCATATACCGGGCACAATTCCAGACTCCGTGCTGAGAATTTTGCTTGCCGGCCTTTGCCGGCAATCGTACTTGCGACCAGTCGGCCAACGAGGAAGTCAACAGGAAATCACGTAAATTAAAATTTTATTGTTTAATTACAGATTCTAATAATCGAGGGCAACAAATTCAACGGCTTAGTGAGGCAAATGAAGGAAGAGGTGGAGCATGCGGTGGGTGAGCAGAAGTCCAACTAAACGAACTGCACAACAGCTACAGTGTAACCGTGCTTGTTGTAAAGTGATTTATGTATATGCCATTACATTACGCTGTATACGTATTTATATATTTTTATTATTACATTGTAATTTTAGCTTAAGCTAAGTGGTTGTTTTATTTAAGATTCCCGTTAGAGTTAATTCAAAGTATTATATCTATCGTTCGACGTATTAATTATATTAATACATCTAGCTGTTCCACATACTTCTATGGTTTACGGATCCCAATCGTGACTTGAAACTAGTTGAGTCTACTCGTCTATCGTTTGCATCAATTTCTGTAAATTGGCCCGCGATGTTCACTATACGGTGCATACGGTACCTGTACTCTGTTATTTGACTATTGATTCAAATTGACATGGACAGCTGTATGTAGCACGTTCGCTGTCCAAGGCTCAGAATATTTTTTATTGTAACGCCAAATGGAAAGACATATAATATAGTCTATAGTAGTGTGTTAAAATAAAATAAATAACGTGTTAACGCGAGCGAAGCCGCAGGCAAAATCTAGTTATAAACTCAACGAATTCATCCAATCTGAAAAATAACGGTAAAGCCGAATCCGAAATCATATTTGTTTTCGGAAATCTGAAAACCAAACCAAGACAATACCAAATCGCAAAGCTATAATATAAACACGAATAACCAAACATCTAAAGCATTTACGTCAATAGTCAAATAACAGTATAGGTACCGTATGCACTATAGTGAAAACCGTCGTCGGGTCATCTCTACGTGCGGCTGGGGGCGCGAGGACGTATGGTCCAGGCCGATGCCTGTCTCGGTGGATTCATTCGCTGCCTGCTACAGCAGGCGAGGGGTTTGAATGGTCGAGCTCCTCGAGCCCGATGTGGTGTCGAGTCTGGCGATTTGCCCCGCCACGAGCCGCGCTGTAGCCGGACAAGCCCAGTGAGCAGCAGCCTGCCGCACGTGGGGCGTCATTGACAGCGAGCGGTCGATGGTCACGCCGAGGTATATAACGCTCGGCGCCCATAGTGAAAATAGATAACATACAACGTTAACGCCATCTGGCTCTGATATGTTTCTGAATCTGAATGGATTCCGATAGATATCCATGAGTTACACTTATTTATGTTTAGAATGTTGTTTATTTTCTCAGAAGCTGATTGGTTTATGGTAAGATTTAATTTCCATCCCCTATTTTAGGGGCTGAGGAGGATTTCCAAAAATTGTAGGTATTTCCGTTAGGAATAAAGTCTGTGTGCCGATTTTAGCTTCCTGCCTGCTAAAAGTCCTATATAAAATTTCACCCCCTCTAGGGATTGGGTGCAGATTTAAAAAAAATTATGGTTTTGGTAGTCATAAATGGTCACCATATCAATTTCTAGCTTCCTACCATGAAAATTGCAGAAGTTCCATACAAACTTCGACCCCCATTTTAGGAAAGTGGGGGGTTAGAAATGGGGGTAAAGTAGCCTATGTAACTCTCCACTCCTTCAAATATCTCCACTTAAAAAAACACGTCAATTCGTGTCTCTGTTTTTGCCGTGAAAGAATATATATAGACAGCTGTATGTTTGTGTTTCACACACATACAGCTGTACACTTTCCCATTAATATCCTTACCGACTCGTAGTCACACCAGATTATCACACCAGTATGACAAACAGGATTTTTTTTCTCGTTTGTCACACCACTTATTTTTCTACAGTATGTATACGATAATTACTAGTGCAGTACCTTTACATTCCAATAAAGTCGATCGGCGTTTGCCGTCTTTCGTTCTTTGGCGAGTTTTTAATATTTTCTACTTTTAATTAATAAATAGGTAACATAACATAACATCACGCCTTTTATCCCAAAGGGGTATGCAGAGGTGCCCATTGCGGCACTTAATGCCACTATACAATGTAACACCTACTTGTTCACTATTTATGAGTCACATGTAATAGGGGGTGAGCCTATTGCTATATACCGGGCACATGTCCAGACTCCATGCTACTACTGAGATTTTTAAAAACCCAGTAATACTTTGCCCGACCCGGGAATCGAACCCGAGACCCCTTGCCCGTCGCACTTGCGACCACTCGGCCAACGAGGCCGTCTAAATAAATAGGTACTAAAGCTCTATGTGGATGTCCAGTGGTTCATATGATAATGCAACCTTATCTAGTAGGTACTGGCCGGTTGTAAATGCAATGCTTGAGTTAATGATCGAGGACGCTCGATAGTTTTCGAGGATACTCGAAGGTGATCGAGGACGCTCGAAAGTGATCGAGGACGCTCGAAAGTGATCAAGGACGCTCGAAAGTGATCGAGGACGCTCGATAGTTTTAGAGGATACTCGAAAGTGATCGAGGACGCTCGATAGATTTCGAGGACGCTCAAAAGTGATCGAGGACGCTCGATGGATTTCGAGGACGCTCGATAGATTTCGAGGACGCTCGAAAGTGATCGAGGACGCTCGATAGTTTTCGAGGACGCTCTAAAGTGATCGAGGACGCTCGAAAGTGATCGAGGATGCCCGATAGATTTCGAGGATACTCGAAAGTGATCGAGGACGCTCGAAAGTGATCGAGGACGCTCGATAGATTTCGAGGACGCTCGAAAGTGATCGAGGACGCTCGAAAGTGATCGAGGACGCTCGAAAGTGATCGAGGATGCCCGATAGATTTCGAGGATTCTCGAAGGTGATCGAGGACGCTCGATAGATTTCGAGGACGCTCGAAAGTGATCGAGGACGCTCGAAAGTGATCGAGGACGATCGAAAGTGATCGAGGACGCCCGATAGATTTTGAGGACGCACGAAAGTGATCGAGGACGCTCGATCGATTTCGAGGACGCTCGAAAGTGATCGAGGACGCTCGATAGATTTCGAGGACGCTCGATAGATTTCGAGGACGCTCGAAAGTGATCGAGGACGCTCAAAAGTGATCGAGGACGCTCGAAAGTGATCGAGGACGCTCGATCGATTTCGAGGACGCTCGAAAGTGATCGAGGACGCTCGATAGATTTCGAGGACGCTCGATAGATTTCGAGGACGCTCGAAAGTGATCGAGGACGCTCAAAAGTGATCGAGGACGCTCGAAAGTGATCGAGGACGCTCGATAGATTTCGAGGACGCCCGAAAGTGATAGATTTCGAGGACACTCGATAGTTAATTTAATTTAACTCGTCGAGTACCGGTTTTATAGACACAATTAAAGAACAATAGGTCGCGGTCACCGGTGACCGCTTGGTGTTTGACAGTTTAAAGGTTTGCAACATGTGTCGATACCCTTCGCCATCTCATCTTCTGACTACGGCAGCATACGGCAGGTTGTGCTGGGGCGTCTGCCGCAAGTGCAGAAACCCTCAGCGGCACAAATATAATAAACCTTACTTATCGGAAATTACATGCGCTCATCGTGTTGTTCGAGATATCAGTAAACGTCGACTCTTCGCGTGACCAGAGGGCCGGGCTTTTCTTTTGTCAACGAATCAGCATTGCCATCCAACGTGGCAATGCTGCCAGCGTTCTGGGCACCTTTCCCATTGATATAGATAGGGATGGATTCTTTTATGTAGTTTACTTTTCAAACCAATTGACGCCCTATGAGTTTTTTTTTACTACCTGTTTGTACATATTATTACTATACATAGTTAGTTTATTATTACTTTATGTTACACATTTAATTAAATAAAGGCATCAATTTAATAAAAACTTGATAATTTGATGATTTTTAATTTAGCTCTAGGACAGCACTATACTCGGAATTTTAATTCGATTCCAGATTTGACAATTTCAGTGTGGCAACGTTATGACAAGTACTAAATAGTGACGTTGCGAAATTATTCGATATGGAAATGCAATATTTCTGGATCGATTCTTCTCGTTTATAATAATTATCTGGTGAACTAAGTATATCAGGAAATTAAATATTTCTGAACCGATAATTTAGTTTTGACGATTAATTAACGATCTGAGACGTTTCTTTTATAATTGTGTGTGAAATAAATAAAAAAATGTAATCATGAAGGAACATGACAAATAAAACAGATAGATGTATAATGGTAATAAGTTATTTTATAAATTGTCGCCGTCATCGCTATCGCTATCCTGTCACTTTCTGTTACATCTATATATATAAAAGAAAGTCGTGTTAGTTACACTATTTATAACTCAAGAACGACTAAATCGATTTAGATGAAAATTGATGGGGATGTAGTTTAGAACCAGGTGACGGACATAGGATACTTTTTACCTAATTTTTTTTTTCCTTTTACCGAAAATCACGAACGGGAACGGGGGAAAATGGGATTGCGCGTACGAAGTCGCGGGCAGAAGCTAGTTTATTATAAAACACACACACTGATTGTTTATCGATTTTTGTGTGCATCACTACACTATTATATGTGGTATCATTATTTCACAAAATGACAGTAGCTATTGTCAAATCTGGAATCTAATTAAAATTCTGACTATAGTTAAGAATAAATGGTGTAGAAAAATAAGTGGTGTGACAAACGAGAAAAAAAATCCTGTTTGTCATACTGGTGTGACTACGAGTCTTTAAGGCCATTTATAATATTGAGTATGGAAGTATGGATGAATAATTAAAACAACATTTTGACAAAATCAATACTTTTATTAGAGCCCAGATCTGCACAGACCTTATACAAATCATTAATTAGACTTAATCAATAAAGTTGCCTTACATGATAAAATTCTATAGAAAAAACGTCACTTAAATCTAAACCGAAACAACAATTTATAGAAAGCAAATTGATTCTTATTAATATAGTTTTCTGATTTATATTCGAATAAAAGATAATCTTATACACTATTCTTAAGTATTATTACCATACACGACTTTGGAAAGATACAGAGCATCTTTCATCATGAAATCTCTTAGGGAGCAAAGGCCTTTTAGGATTTTGGAGTTTTGATCCATTTTCTGTATATCAGTCTCCGATAGACTTTTATCTTGTGCCAAGTACCCGTTTATGGCTTCCTCGGTCATCCAGTGAGCTGGAACCTTGTGCATGTTGAACTGCGCTGGGTCTGGGTTTAATGGCATCGGTGTCAATGATTTCTCCCAAGGCGTTATGTACTTTTGTTCTGAGTGTAGACCTTCAATGTATCTGTAACAGAAATTGGCGTTAAGACTTTGTTCGCAGTGGCGGCACAAAACCAATATTAGATTAGAATAATTTACGTTTTGGGCCTTTTAATGCAAAACGAGACAAAGAAATTATGATGTGTAAAAAAGTTTATTTAAATAGTATAAAAAAGTTATAATATAGTATAAAAAAGTATAAAGTATTAAGAAAAAAGTTTCTTAACAAAAATGACACAATGATAATGGTAACTGTTGTCTAAAATAAAAATAACAGCTAACACTCGTGTTATGACCAGACTTTTAATTTCTTGGTAAATTGACAACATACAAAAAATTGAATTAGTACAGTCGTTTAGGAGGAAGATTAAACATAATATTACATTATAACAACTTTTTTTATTGGATTGTTGATTCTTCTTCTTACCTGATATAAGCCTCAGAGTGTGTAAGTCTCTGCGCTCTAGGCGGCGCGGCAACAAACAGTGGGTCGAGCGGGGGCCGGGCACCCACTGCGGGGGGCGCCACCGTCAACGTGGCCGAGCCTTCGCCCGCACCCGGGGACGGAGTGTTGCGGGCCAGGGGAGACATGCCCGATAGAGACGCTGAAAAATAGTAATATTATTATGAATATTGGACTTCATGAAGTGAATAAATTTTAGTTATAATTTTCTTGATCAAATCATTTACAATATTATATTGAAAATGAAAGACAGTTTTTGTTTGGTTCCTATCTTAGACATACTAAATCACTGAATTGAGAAATCTTAGTTCATATCACGAAGATTCCCTACTAGTTTCAAAGTCAAATAAGAGCTCTGGTTATGAACTGCGCGCGCGCACTCAGCAACGACGAAAGTCACATGATCATTCAAAAAACGGTAAAAAGCTATTTCTCTTAAAGAAAAGACATTTAAAATGTGTTTGTAGACAATCCTTACCTCCTGGCGACATGACACCACTGCGTACGTTGGTTGAAAACTGCTTGGCTGGCTTCTTAGAGGACGGCACGAAGTTTCTGAAAATATAGGAAATAAAAAGAGTAGATAGAGAGAGAGAGAGAATAATAAAAGACTGCCTCGTTGGCCGAGTGGTCGCAAGTGCGACAAATCTTAGTAGCACGGAGTCTGGAATTGTGCCCGGTATATGGCAATAGGCTCACCCCCTATTACATGGGACTCATAACATATATAGTGAAAAGTGGGTGTTACATTGTACAGTGGCATAATGTGCACCTCTTGTGCCTACCCCTTCGGGGATAAAAGGCGTGATTATTGCGTGGCATTAATAATAAAAAAATCATTAAAGTTCATTAAATATAATCAATCAGTTAAGTAACGATAATGTTATAATAAATTATAAAAATAAATTGATATTAATCAATTGACGTAAATAATTAATTTAGCTATTTCTACTAACCTGGACCTCTCATGGACAGCCATGAGCCTGCCGTTGCCTTTATTAACATGTAGGTCCCTGACGTGCCTGAGTAGCCGCGGCAGGTTGGGGAAGGGCGCCTGCCCCTTGCGCACGCGCGCGCAGTTCCTCCAGACACACGGGTACTCGGTCAGAGTACCGCGGTAATGTTGCTGGACGTGCCCCGCTGAGGAAGCGCATGTTGGAGGAATTTTAAGGTTAGATAATGTGTATCGATGTGAAGTGAAGTGTTATTTATTACGTACATACATCTGTACCTCCGTTTTTTTTTATATAAAAGAGTTGATTTTTTATTGCATTTGCCAGTTTAGAATAGATCTGGCGTCTGTACATAGAAAATAGAATGAATAAAGTAGAAATTCTTCTAGGGACACTATAACTATGGCAAAATAATATTTCGATTCAATAAAAACATTATTAAAATGACATTATTTTCTAGTATTCTAGATAAATAAAGTTGTCATAATATGTCTATAAATTAAAGTTTACTCAGTTTTTCTAAAGCTGATCAATAACATCATGTTCGATTCACCAGATGGCACCACTATAGCAAATAAAAAGGGATCCTGTACAGAGACAGTAGCTACTGTTATATTATACTACATTTCTATTTTCATCTCCTCTTATATCTTCTGATTTATTTCGTTGCGGGACCCAAGACAGATAAGAATGTGCCTAGGCCGCGCCGGACTTCAATGTTCCGGTGGTTTCATGGTTAAAAGTATGTACTGTAGATCCTGGCTTACAGGAGATGCGTATGTCCGATGTCGTGACGGCCCGGAGGTTGTAAGACGCCCGCTTCTCATGCATGAGTTTGAAACCTACCAACGGCAAGTACCAACTGTGACTTTTTCTGAGTTACGTGTACAAACGGTGAAGGCAAACATCGTGAAGAAACCAGGGCTTATAATTTCTTATTATAAGTTTGTAAACGCCAACCCGCATTGAGCAAGCGTGGTGGTTAAAGCTCAAACCCTCTCCGTGTGAGAAGAGGCTTTGCTCAGCAGTGGGCATTTATAGGCTGTTGATGATAGTACATATCGTACCCCCGGTGCTATAACGTCACTTATGTATTGCGGGGCACGCAACTGAACAATGAAACGTTGTTTCTCCCAGTGCCATCCAGATTAGCGCCAAAACCGTAACGACACCAATCACGAGGACAGTTTGCGTACAACACAAATGACAATAGCGCACTAAGTAAAGAGGTGAATTTGGAGTATTCTTTCATAATCAGTTAAGTTTTGACAAAAATTGCATAAGTGACGATATTGCACCGTAGGTGCGATGTTTAACCAGCTTTAGAGAAACCGAGTAGGTATTTAGTATAGGTCTTATATTCTACGTTACTTACGTTCTAGTTTGGGTTTCTTGGTTTCGATAAATGTACCGATCACTAGCAGCATTAAAATAATGAGAAAACAATTTAGATTGGAACTTTAAATAACATTTTCAAATAGCAAAAAGCAGATAACGAATCCTTCTACGAAAAACTATTTAATAAAAACATTTTAACGAACAGTTTTTATAATGTTTTTCACAAATGAATAAAAGCAATGTCAAAATGTCAAATCATCATGAATAGAAACATACTCGATTCGCTACCACAAGCAAAGCAATTATTACATATGGAAAATTCTGAACTAACATTAAATTTTTTGTGCAAAGCAGAAAATGTTTTTCAACTATCTTATTAAGTACTGTGTAAGCTTATACACAATACTTTGTTTCTTCATAGCACAAAACTTAATTCAACCATTCGATTTCAAATCTTCGAACATGTTTTTTTTTCAACCATTCGGTCTAAAATCTACAATCGGATTCGTTACCACTATACTACATATATTGCGGCTAGTTACAAATTGGTACATATACCAGAAACACTTACTGTTACCTCCATCCCCGATGCAATGCTCCATGCAGTCCGCCAGATCCTCAAACTGGTAATCACACGTGTCCCAGGCACACTCATACGTTGTTTCCATCGGAGTCTGAAATACCAAACACCAATAATTATAAAGACTAAGTTAAAAAATATTAGTGTCTAGAAAAAACTACTAAAATTGGTAGAAAAGAAATTTGTTGGTAGGTTTTTTACTATGTATATAATTTTTCTATTGTGGTAGAATTCTAGAGGCAGGCAAACTTGCTTTTATAATTTTATGATACTAATACTGAAAATCTGTACTAGAATGAAGGCCAGTGACACTCAATTTAGAATGATCGACAAAACCTAGGCTTAGTACTTATATCATGAAACTATTGGAGAAACGGTTTATTAGTTTGATTTACACGCGCTCCGCTTCGAATACGAGTCCCAGTGGAACTCGAAAGTCGAGATTTTCTCGAATAGTCCAACCGTCTATTTTAAGTAATAATTGAGAATATCTCGCACTATTATACAAAAATGTCTAATAGAGAACTTTAAAATAATAATTAGAGTAGCACAGTTTAAGATGGCTAATGAACTAACGTGTTGCGCAAGTTCCCGCATCTCCTCGGCCAGCCGTGCCGAGGTCTCCTCGTTGCAGCGCGCCGCCCGCTCCTCCCAGCTCTGCTTGGTGGACGCCGGCAGGGACCTCCACTCGTTGCCCACAATCCTCGAGATCTCTCCTACACAAACACACTACGTCTAAACACGTACCTTCGCATTACACCGGGATAACTTTCGCGGTGTGTCTCTCTCTGCTCCCATGTGTGCGTGAATTCAAAGAGATTATGTTTGTACTGGGTTTACTAGCTGTCTTTGTACTGCTGTTATCGTCGTTTACGATTTTCTTGTACTTCTAAAGTTCTTTCTTACTTTTGACCGCCACAGTCACATATAATTAATGACAAAACAAAAGTGCAGGCTTTTTTACGTTAATCAATATCTTCAATGTTTGAAATATTGCGAACTTTTTATTCAGTTAATTAATACGTTATTGCACATTAAATGTGGAGAACCTTAAGTGCATAATTAAGAGTGAATAGGCGCATTGATACCTAAAGGCATTTCTAATCATGCAAATTCATTCTTGTAATTTTATATGAACTATTTTCTTTACAGTTCATATATAGTCACAAGGTCATGGACCAATAATGAATAGTTTATTAGTCGATGTCAGTAAGATAAAATTTTAATTAAGTATAATTCAACATTATTCTTAAAGCTCTTCTTTGTTGACGTGGCGGTCAACAGGTATTTTATTTTACTCAATTTTCTTACTACATTGCTACAAGTCACTATAAGAATAGGACGGCAAGGGTTATTAAAAGCTTTTAGCATTTTTATGCATACTGTATAATATTTTGTTCATGCACAACATACTGTATAGCTCAGATTATATCATCTAAATACTTTTATATCGCTTTACACAGCAAAGAGAGACCTTAGAGCAAATAATTGCGAATTGTTAGTGATTTTCTTGTACACAACAATAACTGCTTATTAAAAGAAGATTTAGCCGTGCATGGTATATGAAAAAGCGATCTAATTCAGTAGTGGAAACGATACCTACCCAATTTGAAAGATTTGTCCTTGCTAGCTAAATTTACATATAGGTGGCGTTAGGATCATGTACATTAAGGATGACATAAAGCTGTGTATACACGCATACATAAAGATGATTGTTACACCATTGTTCAATTCTTTTGTAAAGTTCAATGACACTTTGACATTGACTGTTTTTTAACTTTCCTCTTAAATTAGACCATAGAGTAGTACAGGTTAGCAAAGAGTTTAGTTGTAATTTTAATTTAATATTTATAAAAACTGAACAATGGAAGAAATTAGTGCTTGTTACAAGCAATACATAGTTTATGTATACACAGATAGAAAGACAGATGCGTTGTGTATAGCGGCGATTATGACGATATTAGAAATGATTGAAAACTTTTTATTTATCATTATTCTCTTAACCGCACAGAGTTAGTTTAGACTTAGATTATTATTCAATATCTCGTCTCAACTTTAAGTCGACGTATCTCTAGTTGGATGCTAAGTCTGGACAAAATATTGACATGACAATACCGATCAAATGGTTCAGATTTGAGACTCATTGATTTGAGAACCATTTTCAACCCAAAACATAGATTTACTTTCCAAAAATCGACACTTAGAACATCACGTAGACTAGACAAAGCTCCTACACTTAAAAAAATTACCAACATATAAAAAGAACTTACCAAAAGTAGACTCGGGGTTGTTGGCAACGATGGCTCGTCTGACCTCGCTGGAGTAGAGAATGTAACCGGTGACTATCTTCTGTTTATTGTCCTTCTTCTTCTTGCTACTGGCCGGGGTGGCCGTGCTGTTCGAACGTTCCTGTGTTGGTGTCGCCGTCATTGACGGGTTGTAGGGGTTGCTGTTACCACCTGGGGATTATTTTGTTGTTATTAACTTATTAAGCCGTGTGAATTTTATTTTTCTTCGGACTTGAGTCTCATAAAGACGACAAAGGGATTACACATTTGACAGAAATGTAATGATGAAAAAATAGTCTTTTTTATAGAATAGGAGGCAATCGAGCAGACGGATCACCTGATGGTAAGCGATCAGCGCCGCCCATGGACACCCGCAACACCAGAAGAGTCACAGGTGTGTTTCCGGCCTTTTAAAAAGGAATACGCTCTTACAGTCTGAAAGGAGTCCTCTCCCAAAGGTCGACAACACACTTGAAACACTTCTTATGTTCAGGGTGTCGATAAACGGCGCCAATTGCTTGCTATCAGGTATTGTATGTGTGTATGTCAACATTATACTATGTTCCAGCCTCGGAGTCCAGTTAGTTGAGTTAAAGGACTGTTACTGACTGTTGATTTCATTAAAAAAACAGAAAAAACATACCTATTGAGAGTGGCGTGGCGGGCGACGCGAGTGAGGAGTCATCGAGTGAATTCTCCAGTATCATCTCCACGTCCTGACTGCCAATTGTCGTGTTGATCAGGTTCGTGAACTGGGGCTTCACGTCCTGTAATAGAGTTCGTTATATTATTTAAACCGCACTAATTTTGTTTGCGAAGCATTACAATAAGATGCCTAAAACAGGTTGACGATGATAATGCTAAGGATATCAACTTACGATAGAGTCCATAGAGTTGGTGTTAGGGTTGAACTGTTTCTGTGTGAATGCGCTGGACGTGGACTGTACTTCCTGAGGAGTGGCCAGCGCTGGGGGACCCAGCGGCTTCGGGAAGAAGTAAATCTACAAACAAACAATAAATAATGAAAATTGTCTTACTGTCAATGATTTATTGAATGAGTACAACTAAAATGTTTATTAATTAACTAGCGGACCCGACAGACGTTGTCCTGCATATCCACTTGAAAGTAAAAACCAAAATTCATTCAAATTAGTTCAGCCGTTTAGGATAACTAACCTAGACATCGACTGCAGCGCCATCTGCCGGGCTGATTTGTGAATTTAAACAATCCAGGACCCTACTTAAATACGTACAGAAAAATTCATTTAAATCGGTCAAGCCGTTTAGGAGGAGTTCAATGACATACACACGTACAGCAGAATTATATATATGAAGAATTGGATGTTACATTTTGTATTTCAATGTGCTAATAAGAGTATATTGATTTATATCAGTATACTCCTATAATATAATACTCCTCCTTAGGGGAATTGGACATTGCTATATTCCTATACTCAGCAGTAATCATCTTCTAACTAGTAATGATGATGATAAACACCTTTCTAACACTCGCTAACCTCATTCTCCTTAACATAAAACCCAATCCCACGTGGATATAGGTTTGAACGTAAATGTGTCCAGAGAAAATAAGCTTGATCTAGAGTTTACGTTTAGTTTTCAACGCGCTGAGCACTTGACTGGCATGAAACACTTATATAAGTATATCTTTAACCCCTCGAGCGTCCTTATGAGCACCCGGTGGATCATAAGAAAAAATGCTCCATGCTGCTTTCTCTTTTATAAAATCTATTATTAATGTTTTGTTTTTATTTTGACTGTATTTTTTTATTTATATTGTAATGACCCTTGTGTTCGTGTGCCAATGGTCAACGAAATGCATTTTCTTTCTTTATTTCTTTCTTTCTCCAAATGTCACGTGTGCACCCGTTGGATCATAAGGAACGCGGACGCTCGACGGGTTAAAACAATGATCAAACTGTCTCCACATAAACAACACGTTTAATACCAGTAAAAATAATTTGTGGATTCCAGTACAGTGTTGAATTGGGGTCATAGTCTTTAAAGTGCCATCTACTCTTCTCACTACGCCACGCTCAGTATTTTTTTTTTTTTTTTAAGGGGGGAAAATCATCGAATGACTGCTCCCGCCTGGGTGAGGCAGAAGGGAGTGTCAGACTCTTACTGACTAAAAACCACCCCGTTCCTTCTCCTGCACGTCGAGCCGGAGCCCCGGTTACCCGTTAGGTTCTCCATTTTCATAACTATAAAACATTCTCATTGAAACTATCTCTATCCAATTAAATAAGTAACAAGTATGTAGTACTAGCTTTTACCCGCGGCTTCGCTCGCGTCACAAAAGGATTAAAAGTAGCCTATGTGACTGTCCATCCGTTCAACTACCTTCAGTTAAAAAATCACGTTAATTAGTACCTCCGTTCTGCCATTTAAGACAGGCAAACAAGCAAATACGTTTCCGCTCGCGTGGAATTCGGTTATGTCGCGCTATTTAGATTTTTACAATAAGTAAGTAAATCGTTGACTGGTTTTAAATGACATGCAACGCCATCTATACCATTACATACAGCGCCATCTATAGCAATATTTTTGTTTTTCCTAGGAAAGATCATTTTTTCCGGGATAAAGTCACCCTATTATTTTATCCAGACTTCTAACTTTACGTCTGCAAAATTTCAAAGCAATCGGTCTAGTAGTTACGGCGTGAAGGCGGAACAAAGAAACAAACAAACAAACTCACTTTCCGATTTATAATATAAGTAAGGATAAGGAAGTAAGGAAGTAAGGATAAGGAAGTAAGTATTTACCTCATCAACAGTAACATCCTTGGTATGTTCAAACTTGCGCAGTCCGGACTTAAGTTTCCGCGCGATGCGGTTGGACTCGTCGTACACTGACTCGCACACGTACACGTCGCTCTCTGATATCTCTGTCGGACGACCTATGAGGGAAAGAGATGGGTGAAGAGTGACATACGAATATTACACAATATTTTTGTGCTAACACGACTAAAATGAATGATTGACAACGATATATGACTGGAAATGCAGTCTGTAACGTCGTTTTATATAATGTCCAATACAAAAATATTTTACAATATCTTATTTATTCATTTATTTATTTTTTCTTACATATATAACACTATAGCTTACGCCATTAAGTTATACTGTTAATGTCTTGTTTTATTATTTTCCGACGCAATGGTACAGTGTAAGCCAACCTCATTTTATAAATCCATAGCGACTGTGGAAAGGATTATTTCTTAAAATGAGATAGAATTTCAAACTGTACCTTACGTAGCCTCCCCCATCATTTATGTTCAATATAGGTATATCTGTATTTTACAGGTTATGCCGGCTACTTGCTGTAAATACAGGACACACACTTCATATTACACTCACACACGGTACACTACTGCTTTATAGTAACAATTCACGTCAGTACATATACAAGTTAAGTGAATCATGGTCTGCACTCACGTCATTCGTTGCATTGCATTCATGATCGCTCGCGAATAGTGAAGCTGGCGGGACGCCATTACGTCACCCAGGGATATGCTGAAAATCAGCGCTGCGACGCTAACCTCTCGAGGTTTAAGTCGTAGAAATTGCTGAGCATATCCTGTTTTTGCGCACGCATACATGACGCACAATATTGGGGCAAGGATAGCATCAAGTGCCTATAATTGATGCGTTTTGTTTTATTTAATTAAACTTTTATATAATAATATACTCATGCATGAAGTAAGTACTTAAGTAGAGTGTTTCTTGTCTATGGTCCACAGATAATGTTAGATATTAAGTATTCTATAATTTCAGTAAAGAATAAGTCTGTGGACCATGGACAAGACTTCACTTCATTTTATATTTTTAGCTTTTGTTTTATTTAATTTTATTTTTGGTTATGTTATGTGTGTTTTGCGCAAAAATAAATGGTTTTTCTTTCTTTTCTTTCTAGTTTTTATAAGACAACTAGTTAACTGACTCGACTGCCTCGTTGGCCTAGGATGGTGTTCGATTCCCAGGTCGGGCAAAGTATTACTGGGGTTTTTAAAAATTCTCAGTAGTTTTCACACAGATTCTGGAAATGTACCCGGTATATGGCAATAGTTTCACCCCCTATTACATGGAACTCATAACATAAATAGTGAACTGAGTGTTACACTGTACAGTGGCATTAAATGCCGTAATATGCACCTCTACCTACCCTAGAGCGGATAAAGTCGTTGTGTCAACTGACGCGAGTGACAGACTTCGTAACTTCCACCAAAGAATTGGCTACTATTCAACAAACAAAAACACATACTCACATTTAAGATAATCATCATAATCAAGTACGGAGCACTTCCCCACGATGCCCACGAGTGGACTAGTATCGTGCATCGTAGTCAACAAGACTTCTTGCTTGTAAAAAGGCTGGAAATCAAACATACTCTTCAGTTAATGATGAAATTATTGAATCATGAAAATTAATGAACAAATGTATGATAAATATTATTTCTTTCTAACCTTGTTTATAATATTCGCCACTTCAGAGGGGAAGATCAGGAATGGACCTCGGAAGTAGCATTTGTTGCTGTGGACAAAATATTGTTATTAATATAATGGGCAATTCGACTGTAAGATTTAAATAAGTCCGCCTTATGTACCATATTTTTTGTGCATTAAAGAGTTAATAAATAAAATAATATCTTTTATGGAATAAGAGCTAACGTGAATGAAGTCGCTAGTGTAGCGAAGTCTCTTATGCAAAAAATATTGGTTATATGCAGTAATTGGACATTGATGATTGGGTAAAGATAAATCTACAAGAAAAACCATAGCCCTCATTCACAGGTTAAAAACGCCTTAGACTTTTAAATAAATACTATCACCTCTAAAAAGATACAATATAAACTAGCATCCGCCCGCGACTTCGTATCCAGGTTTTTCCCATGGGAACGCCCATTCGTGATTTTCGGTAAATCCTTGGATAAAAATCTTAGATTTAAAGATGGATGGATGTAAAGATCCAAAGATCCTATGTCCGTATCCCGGTTCTAAGCTATCTCCTCACCAATTTTCAGCCAAATTGATTCAGCCGTTCTTGAGTTAAATAGTGTAACTAACACGACTTTCTTTTATCTTAGATATATACTATAAAAAATCTTGTGTTACAATGTTGTATAATATAAATGTTATATCATACTCACTCTCCAGTTTCCCAAATAGTATCAACTTGCGCGATCATCTGCTTCCCGCCATCGGTGACGACGTACACATAGTCCCCGGTCTTTATAACTCCGGAGCAAACTGTATTGTACTGCTCATAGTACGTGTTCTCGTCGTCCGTGCCCAACGGATTGTACATCACTACGTCCTACGGAATAAGGTTTATATTGTAATGGCAAATTTGATCTGATAAATGGATTTTGTAAGTATTGGTAAGGTATGAAAAGGAAACCATTGAGCCTGCCAGACAAAAATATAAGACATATAATTTTTAGTTTTAGTGCAAATAGAAAATAACTGATATTATAGGGCTTGTACACAAAACTGCTTTGCGATGCGATGCGAATTTGTAACGCAAAAAATTACGATGCGATTTCATGCGACAAGGCGTCTCCCAGGATGACCATTCCTTCGACGATCGTCAACCGTAGTAAAACTATTTTAAATTCAAAACTAAGTCGTGACATGGACCGTAAAAAGAAGTGTGCACTTCTGTTATTGCTTAGGAGATACAGGAAAAAGAAACAAAGAAGAGTTTTTGATGCGATGCGTAGAGGGAGTTCGCACATTTTGAGATGCCACGTCACATCGCAGTTTTGTGTACGAGCCCATAGTGAAATATGAGACATCATAGTTACGTGTGAAGAAACTAGCGAAGTCATTTATCATTTCGATACTTTCCCGTACATTTCGTGTCAACAACAAGTGAAGTCATTTCACACTATGCACTATTTCAAAACATTTAAAGCGTATAGTAGTGCAAAAATCGCATAAAATTATAAACTGGTGCCTGACTGTAGTTGGATGAAGACGGCGGTGTGTTGTGGCACGCCGTGTTAGAGGTTTACGTCCAGCAGTGAAACGTAAAGCAAATGACGGTAATGATAGTGGAGTGAATGTGAATACTACTGTTTATTTTATTTAATATTTATTTTAGTGAAATTGCTATTTGTATTTATTCTGTTATATTTAAATTTAATTCTACTAAATAATGTAATTTAGAGTAATTAATTTAGGGTAATAAGCATCATAGTGGCGATAAAGCTTGTTAGATATAATTTACATATTACATTAAGAACTATATGCTATAAAAATGCAAGGAGGTGCATATTATATTTATTATTATTTTTTATTTAGCACAAATGCATAGAACTATACTCACACTGGAATTCTGTCGTATTCCAATAGTTTAGAACAAATACAATATAAAAGTTAATATCGAACCGAGAAGATAAATTATTGTCATATGTGCAGTTAATATAAAAGTTAATATTTTAATAGTATTAGATGTCATGTAGAACTTTAAAAGATTTTTCTAATAGTTTTGATATAGAAAAGATCAAGCACAGACATCAAACTGTAACCAGCAGCTGTAGCCAAATGCCATTTAGCGCTTGTCTATATGTAGAATAGAAAACCAAATTATATGGAATTGACGTACATTTTGACACTTTTTTTGTGTCCTCAGGGCGGTCCTCGCAGTGATGACACCCGGGCGTTTCCTCCCGCCCCATCAGACACAGGTACCTCCCGAAACTTCCATGTCCGGTGAGGACCTGCGTCAGGCGGAAGGTGAGGACGTCGTAGCGTCTCTCAAGCCACTCCTCAAAGAAGGGACTTACCGCTGCAATAGCAGCGAGCTCAAAAATGTATGGGAATGACACTGACAAGTGTCAAAATTACACTTGTCAGTGTCATTCTCATACATTTCGTTTTCTACTCTCTCTGTACACAAGCGCTAAAGTGGCGTTTGGCTAAAGGCACTGGTCCGTCTGTATACTTCGTTCATTCGTAATGATTTTGCATATTTACAATAGGGTGTTGTTTACTCACGGGTCTCTCCTTCTCGTGTACATTCTCCAGTACCTCCAGCTCGGCCAGCTCGTCCTTGTGCTTCTCTACACGCTCACGGAACACGGAGACGGTTCTATTGGGCTCTAATGGAACCTACGGGAAGATTGAACTTTTAGTAATATTATACATAATTATACCATCTGAAATAGTAAGTACACTACACTAAACTACATAACATAACATCACACCTTTTATCCCCGATGGGGTAGGCAGAGGTGCACATTATGCCACTGTACAATGTAACACCCACTGTGAGTCCCATGTAATAGGAGGTGAGCCTATTGCCATATACCGGGCACATTTCAAGACTCCGTGCTACTACTGAGATTTAAAAAAAAACCAGTAATATTTTGCCCAACCCGGGAATCAAACCTGAGACCCTTTACCACACTAGTCATATTTGCGACCAGTCGGCCAACGAGGCAGTAATTAATTTATATTTTTCCTTATATGTATTTAGACTATAAACAACTTACTTCTCTTGGTGTAAGTGTGACTTCCTTCTCAGCTCCCTCCCACACTTTGATCTTCTTGAACCAACGCAACTTGGTGTTGTACCGACTCTCACATACGTACACGTCTTTGTCAGCGAAACCTGAAAAAATAACATTTTGGTTAGTTAGTCGCCATCTTTATTCGTATGTTCATTGCGACTTTATGACAAAGTATAGCAAACTTGATTGGAACTCACTAGTAAATGTGCAGTCCATTGATAGTTTCACAAAAATTGTATCTATATACTCTGAATTTTAATTCGATTCCAGATTTGACAATTTCAGTGTTGCAACGTTATGACAAGTACTAAATAGTGACGTTGCGAAATTATTCGATATAGAAATGGAATATATCTGGATCGATTCTTCTCGTTTATAATTTTAATCTCGTAAACTAAGTATATCAGGAAATTAAATATTTCTGAACCGATAATTTAGTTTTGACGATTAATTAACGATCTTTTCTTTTATACTTATGTGTGAAATAAAAAAAAATGTAATCATGAAGGAACATGACAAATAAAACAAGATACATATATTATGGTAATAAGTTATTTTATAAATTGTCGCCGTCATCGCTATCACTATCCTGTCACTTTCTGTAACATTTATTATAAAACACACACTGATTGTTTATCGATTTCTTTGTTCATCACTACACTATTATATGTGGTATCATTATTTCACAAAATGACAGTAGCTATTGTCAAATCTGGAATCTAATTAAAATTCTGACTATAGTAGTTAGAGGCCTTCAGTATGAGTTTGTTAAATGTATAATGTATTTGAAACGAGACGGCGTTCGACGCTCTGATTGGCCGGCTCAAATGAACCAACCAATCAGAGCGGCATTACTTTAAACGTTTAAAAAAACTTATACAAAGGCCTCGGTAATAGTTCACATGGTATTACGAGACGACTTAATGAGAAAATTAGCGAAAATTTGTAGGTATGTATTGAAGTCTCGAGTGCGATCGAGAATAAGCAATTCTGTGGTTGCTTATTCATTCACTAGTGGCATCAGAATGCTTATTCAAGTAAGTGAATGGGTAGTATAGGCAAGCATGCTCCTTCGTGGACCACATTTTCAGCGAGGCACTGGTTAAATGTTGACCGATCATAGACGCAAATCAAAAAGGATAATCTTACTACACTTCCTTATTAATATGGAAGTGGTAGCCACTTTCATATTAATAATTTACTTGACTATACATACATATGATCATATTTATGTTAAATCTCACCTTCAGGTCTAAACTTGAAGTACTCCTTGACATTCATGACGTAGCAGTGTCCGACGACCTGGTCGAGCGGTACGACGCGGTGTGCCTCCGTCTTGAACACTTCCTGCTGCAGGAACTTGCGCGTGCGCACGTGGAACGTCTCGTGAGGTCTGTGGGGACAAATGTATGGGTACGGTATTTTGTTGTGATTTGGGAACAGGTGATATCGTCTACTAAAAATGAAAAAATATAATTAACAGTAGCCTGATCAATCGAGGTATCATCTATAACCGACATTCTTATTATGGTTATATAGCATATGACTAACATTATACTAATAATATGTTCATGACTTAATGTTAAAAGGATCCTCTGCCAGTCAACCAAAGGTTGGCAATGACTTTTTAAGGGGTCCCCTCGTCATCGAATGACTTCTCTCACCTGGGTAAGGCTCAGACTCTTACTGACTAAAAACCACCCCGGTCCTAGTCCTGTACTTTGAGCTGGAACCCTGGCAACCTTTTACGTTCTCCGTGGCTCCGTATCGGCATCAGTCCTATTGGGCCCCATCTGTGATGGTCTGATGGCTCTTTGAGTACTTTTTCAAAGAGTCATCAGACCAGCCATTTGACTATTTCACCCGTACGCTCGGAACTATTTATAGTCGGGCGGCGAGGTAGGTTGACAAAATGACTGGAGTTATTTTTGTTAGTGGTAAGCTGCAAGACAAAAAGTTGAGGGAGATGTAAGTTTATCTAAATCTAAATGTTATTTGAGTACCGACCTGTAATACACGATGCAGTACATGCAGGGCACGCCCTCGTTGTTGGTCCAGACCCGCTCGACCTGCACTATGCTGGGCTCCTTGTTCCCCTTGTCTGGCTGTACGTATACAAAGTCTCCTTTACGGTACGCCGTCATTAGGAGCGGAGCACCACCTGATGGCATTGAGTCGTCCGTACTTGATCTGGGAAATTGGAAAAAAATAGTATAATTAAGATTATTTAAAAGGTAACGGATGAGAAAATGATGAAGTTGTGTATCGGAAGCCAAGATCTACTTAGAACCGCTGCCACAATGGAGTATTCAGTTAAAAAATTAGCTTGTGACTTTAAAGTGGATCAAGGATTATCAAAAACCAAACGTACTATAGGGAAAATTAGTTTCAAATACATTTATTCATGACAATAATACATACAGATGTATTTTAATTCATCTATGTAAAGAAAGAATAACATGTGTATAAAATTAAATAATAATAGTCTTAAAATGCATTGAGACTGTAAAAATGCATTAAAGACATTAACACCTAACACACTACATATTAAAGCCCAAATTCCAACAAACCTGGTTTCATCCTCATCTTCGTTCTCCTGCAGCAGTTTGCACTGCTTGACAAGTTCGACGCTGGTGGCCATAGTGTCGCGAGTGAAGGCCAGGGCGGGCGACTGTAGTGTGCCACGACACAGTTGGTCGCGCTGGTCTATGTAATATGATTGAAGTTCCACCGAGTCCTCAAAGATCTGGCTGTCCGTCCGTGAAAGACGACGGGCCCTGTCAAAGTCAAAGTCAAAATCATTAGACCAGAAAAGCACGTTTGAACGTCAACAAAAAAAAGTGATGCTATTTGCTCATTCAAAGATGTAGATTCCTATGGAGAAGAACGAGCAAGAAACTCCATAGGTTACTCTTTTTCAATCAAGTTCACAATGTAATAATATAAAATCCAGTCAAAGAGATCGAAAAAGAAAATAACCTTAAGGACAATAAATAATACAGTCTGGAGCTGACCAATGTCCCAACCTGTGTTCAATGGAATATATGTCAACGTCTGATATAAGTTTTAAGGGATAGATAACGCTTTAAAGGTTTCTAACAAAAAACATTGTTATAACAAAGCTCTTATAACATAACATAACTTTCACGCCTTTCATTCCCGAAGTGGTAGGCAGAGGTGCAGATTACGGCACTTAATGCCACTGTACAATGTAACACCGACTTTTCACTGTTTTATCTTATGAGTCCCGTGTAATAGGGAGTGAGCCTATTGCCATATACCGAGCACATTTCCAGGCTCCGTTCTACTACTGATATTTCTTTAAAAACACAGTAATACTTTACCCGACCCGGGAATCGAACCCGAGACCTCTTGCCCGACAGTCGCACTTGCGACCACTCGGCGAAAGAGGCAGTCAAATTACAGGACATTATGTAGAGATGAGGTCAAAGAACCGACAAGTACATCAGAAAAAGTTAAAACAGAGAAGCATGGCACACCCAGCAGTGGGTGTAATTATACTCTATTTTATGTAACACTAGCTTTTACCCGCGGCTTCGCTCGCGTCACAAAATAATAAAAAGTAGCCTGTGACATATACCAATACACACAGCGCCATCTATACCAATACTTTTGTTTTTACTCGAGAATATCAATTTTTTCCGGGTTAAAAAGTACCCTATTATTTAATCCGGACTTCTAACTTTACGTCTGCAAAAATTCAAAGCAATCGGTTGAGTAGCTACGGCGTGAAGGTGGAACAAACAAACAAACAAACAAACTCACTTTCAGATTTATAATATTAGTAAATAAGTAAATATAGTAAATATTAGTAAGGATGAAGGCTAAATAAATAAAAATAAAACCATTATTACGTACCTTTCAAAGACAGCAAACATGTCCTGTTGAAAGTGGTCGAGCCGTTTATAGAGGCCCTTGTCCAGCCTCCGCTTCACGAGGTCCAGGGAGATGGCGCGCACCTTCTCACCGTTAGCTGCCTCGTCATGCTCTGGCAATTCCGCCATACTGTCTGAGTAGCATCTGAGGAATAGGGCCATTGCAGTTATTGTCTAGATTCGAAATTGATGCAGAAGATGCCGCATGAGTGAGGTTATCGGAATCCCAAATTATTCCTTTTATAATCTCTCCAATCTCCAAGCCCCAAATCTCAAATTCCTACCCAAAAGTCCGGCAACGCACTTGCAATTTCTATGGTGATTTGATTGTCCATGGGCGGCGCTGAATCTTTACCATCAGGTGATCGGTCTGCTCGATTGCCGGCCTATTCCATAAAAAAACTGAAAATATCCTATCTAAAAATTACTGCGACAATAACTAAATTTAATGTCCATCTGGTAGATTATTTTAAATCATTAGACACGTTTGTTATTTTCTTACAGAAACGAATACTTTCGACGATAATATTGATTTGAAATGTCGCGTGACGTCACTTCTATGTACATTTTATACGTAGAAAAGACGTTTTAGCCCCCACTCCTAAACTTTGATTCGTTTTATCTAAGTATTATTTTATTATACGACAAAATAAAAAATACGTGTCTAATATTTTTCATTGCCTTACTTATCTACGGACTAATTATATTTTTAATGTTTATACCCTGTCATCATCCCAATTACAGGTCCAATTTTTATTGTGGTATCACAGACTGATTAACATAACAATTTTAAATCCTATCGACTGCAAGAAGGATAAAACTTTATGCATGTCATTGCCTACTGCAATGTCAGACAGGCGTAGCATCATAATATCGTATAATACAATATAAAAATACAAATGTAGGTATACAACTTTAAATTCTCACTCACAAAGAATAGAGTTCATGATTGTGTAACTCACCTGCCCTCTTCATCTTGATGATTGTAGACGCTTGTGAACAGATTGAGCAGGAGCTCTTGTACTGCGGCCGGAACATCTGGCACTGCGTCATCGTCCTCCCTACATACAAGAATATACATAATTAAAGAAAGCATTTTGATATGCAGGAGTCCGAGAAACTAAAAACTAATTTATAAGTCAGCCATGTACACATCAAGGTATTCAAACCCAGTATAAAGTGCCCTTCGAAGTGCAGAAAGATAAAACAAAGCAAGATTATGATTAACTGGTTTTACGTAGCTCGATGTGAAGCCGTGTTATATGTGACCATGACATTGTTTGAAGATAGGTACCATCAAAACAAAAAAAAATACGAAAACTTATCAAATGTTAAAGCACAAACAACAAAAACCTATTCCGCAAGTAATAAAACTCCATTCATACAATGACAATAACCTAAAGCAATAGGCTAATTGTTACTGATAAGGACGATTTTAGACAATTCTATGGCAAAATTCCTAGAAAAAAGTCATGGAAGTATTAAATGAGTTTGAATGGTTTTTGACAAAACGTGGGAATTTCTGAAACGTGATGAATCATTGCTAAACTATTTATTGTTATTTATATTTACACAATGACAACTAACAATGATGAAAACTAACAACTACTTACGGCTATGTTTTAAGATGAGAATAAAATTGGCAGTTGGGATAAACAAATAGCATAAATTCGTTGCATGACATTTGTATCCAGATGTTATTAACACGCTGTTAAGCCATATGCTTAGGGGGCATGATAGTCTTATATTTTATATTGTCTAACGCTCCAATACTAAAAGGCTACTAAATTTTCAGTTGTACTTAAATATCGTGCCGTCTCTGTCACTTTACAAAGTAATTTGTAGTGACTAGGACTATACTTAAACGCGACTTAAAATTCGGTAGCCTTTAAATATTTCAAACTAATAGGGTTATTTTATTTGGAAATAAATTATAGAAGCCAAAATGACGTAAGCTACATTCAGAATCAGGCGCCAAAACACACAGGATGCTATTTATTTGCACACAAAACCACTCCAATCTGCCAATATTCTTTAACAGATTTTCAACCATTTTACTTTGTAATAAAGTTGAAAATCAAGAAGAATTTTAACAGTATCGGATAGCTTGATGTGCAGTCAGTTCATTTGAATTAATAGAACACTACTAGCGTATGTAACGCAGTTTGAAATAATATTCACACGTTCACACACCAAACTTTGAACATCTAATAAAACCAATGAATAAGCCAATCGAATTTAAACATTAAAATGATGAATATTGAGTCGCAATTAGTAAACAAATGCTGCAATTTTGAAATTTTGAAAAGTGAACTTTAGTGTGTTAGTCATAAGATACATTTTCATGTAATTGCGTCTCCATAGTTTCTACATGCATGTGTAGACGCACCTGTTATTGACACGTCCTGATCCTCTGCGCATCCATATGCACGTTGCATGTAAATATTTATATATTAAAGTAAAAGCGAGATTATTCCCATAGAAATAAGGTTGGAATTATGGGATAATTTGATCATAGATTATGCGCAAAATATCATGCTTTTAACACGAATTGTTTTAACAATAATATAAGTACAAAACCATCTGTACCATTTTTTAGACATTTTTGGTAATGATAAAGTCAAATCTTTGACCTTGGGAATAAAATAAGTAAAAAACCAGGATCATCATTAAAATTAAGTATCGTTTCGCACGAATTGTGGGAAGATGGTATCATTTATTTTCTTGTACACAAATGAGACTTTCTTTTGTAAAATTCTCACTCAAGAAAGGCATTACATTGTTTGTTATATAACAATAGGGCAGTTATCAATGGTGACCTAAGCATTAAAATCTAATATCGCAATTTTGTATTAAAACTTTCGTGAGACATACAAAATAAATTATTATGCTTTCGGCTTACACACGTAATTATTTGACGAGGACCTCGACTAGTTTCAAGCCATACTAGAGGCTCATGTTCATGAGCTATTTTTATAGCCCTTCAACTCATGCAAAACGATACTAAGTAGATCCTAACTCATTGCCATTCACCGTCACATAAAAGGGGATACTTTATATATTTTTTACAATCCATCTTTATAAAACAACATACATGGTGTAAACGGAATGCCGCCGAAACGCTGACAAAAAGAAATTGCTTTTACAATTTTAATCTTTTTTGTTTTTGTGTTATTCATGCAACAGCCTTGAGAAGTCATTACAATTATAACATAACATAACATCACGCCTTTTATCCCCGAAGGGGTAGGCAGAGGTGCACATTATGCCACTGTACAATGTAACACCCGCTTTTCACTATTTATGTTATGAATCCCATGTAATAGAGTGTGAGCCTATTGCCATATACCGGGCACAATTATTTATAACTCACAAGAACCGCTGAATCGATTTGGATGAAAATTGGTAGGAAGCTCCCTACGAATAGACAAGCTACTTAGCTTAAAACCAGGAGACGGATTTGGGATACTTTTTATCCAATACTTTGTTTTTACTCGCACACAGAAGCTAATTATTATATAAAAGAAACATTTAATTCCTTACTTTTATTAAAATAAAACCTCTTTTTTACCATCACCTGTCGGCTTTTCGGTAGCTTTCCGTTTACAACCTATATACTAATATCAAAAAGCCAAAAACTTCGTTTAAAAAAGATAGTATCATTAGTTCCCTTACCTCAACATCTGTTTGGTCTGCAAGCACACGCGATGCAATATCAAGGCGTCTTTATATATCTGTGAGTCTGGCTCATTGTACTTGCATGCATTATCGAACATTAGTATAAAATCTGAAGCCAACTCATTCACTGATCCATAGACATTATTCTTCAGTTTGTGAGCTATCTTCTCCATATCTATCGGGTTTTTGATTAGCTCGTAGTAATCTGGGTACTCTATTTTACTTGGTAGCTTCATGAAGATAAGTGCTAGTTGGCGGTTAGCTGTAGAAACAAAGATTTGTTTAATTAAAATTATTTAAATCATACCTTATTAACTATTTATTTATTTACTTAATTTCCAGGATGCTATAGTATAAGTTTAGATTCGTTTTCGTCCTTTCAATGACGTCATGCTTAGAATGATGGATAGAATAGGAGAGAAAGATGGTACAACGTGATCTATTTATACTAATATGATAAAATGATTAATGAAAACGTCATAAAAGTAGGATATGTGACTGCCAGACCACAATAATTATGAGCTCAGAGCCTTACATCAATAAGTTTTTTTTTTTCAGCAAACCTATAGTTTAATACGAAACCTATTTAAATTAATTTAATTGTTCCTTTATTTTAGGCAATTGTGACCTATCATTACATCACAACATATTATAAAACAAGTCGCTATCCGCCGTCTGTCTGTCCCTATGTATGTTTAGATCTTTAAAACTACGCAACGGATTATGATGCGGTTTTCTTTAATAGATAGAGTGATTCTTAAGAAAGGTTTATATGTATAATACACGCATATTGCACCCGTGCGAAGCCGGGGCGGGTCGCTAGTATAAAATATAATACAGAAATAAATAAAAAATACAATACGAAACTGAAACAGATACAAAATTATTACCTAATAAACTAATAGATATACAATAACAAAACATATAATTAATGTACACGAAAAGACGGCGTCGTGTTTCGCTGACTGGTGTCACGTAGTCGGTCACGGAAACGCCGATACACGACACCCTTTTGTTAAAATAAATACTAACCTTTAGGGTCTCTATAATCCCTGATAGCATCATACAACGTCCTCAGTTTCTGTTCAAAAGGCGATAGTTGCCTGTGTTTAGGCACCTTTACAGTTTTTAGAGGAGTTTTCTTCTCAAAGCTGGTATTATTGTATACTTCTTTGAGTTTCTCGTTCATCACACGTTCCAGAAGATTGGCGTCTTCATATATCATTGAACCTTCTTCGTTGAACTGACGGCAGTTTGAGAACATTAGACGGAAATCTGATACCATCTCGTCTATTGTGTTGTAGCGGTCGTTCTGTGGAAGAATGAATTATTATTATTATTCAAAGAAAGACCGTCGCCGCGTCTATCTGTCTATTTGTACACAATAAACTCAAAAAGTACTAAACGGATTTTCGTAAAGCTTTCACCGATAAATAGTGTGATTCCTAAATCCTAATTCATTCAGCACATTCAGCTCTTGTGGATTTGACCACGCAGGCGAAACTGCAGTCGGAAATCCAGTTGATTTCATCTTTAATTAGACTAGTAAAGCACTTAAGTAATGAAAAACAAACGAACAAAGGAGTAAAGCTAAATTATTTTCCATTGATTTAAATACATAAATATCTTTATAATATAATACCTTAATATTTGCTTCAATAGTGATCATATCAATGGGTTTTTCAATCACATTATAGTACTCCGGATATAGTTTCTTGCTTGGTTTCTCCATGAACAACAACATGGGTTGTCTTCCATCGGAACAGGTGAATTCTACAAGTTGTTTCGATACGTAATGGAGTTTCTTCTTCAAAGGCAGGTTGGATTTGACCGGGGTGCTGATAGGAGAAGGAGCCGACGCCCCTTGCACGGGGTTCAAACGTGGACGGCCTGTAATCAAAGTTGGATTTAGATAACTTATAATAAACTAGCTTCTGCCCGCGACTTCGTACGCGTAATCCCATTTTTTCCCGTCCCCGTTCGTGATTTTCGGTAAAAAGTAAAAAAAAAATTGGTAAAAAAGTATCCTATGTCGGTCTCCTGGCTCTAAGCTACCATCCTACCAATTTTCAGCCAAATCTATTCTGCCGTTCTTGAGTTATAAATGGTGTAACTAACACGTCTTTCTTTTATATATATAGATAATGATGTCTTGCAACATCACACTACGGGCTATAGGGAGCGGGTACTGGCTGACTTAGGAGATAGGATACTTTTTATCCTGGTTCAATGCTGGCATGGGATAAAACAGGAATCATATTCTACGCTGACGAAGTCGCGGGCAATAGCTAGTGTTCTATAAAGGGAAAAGGGAAACTGTTTGATGTTTAATGGTTTATCCACGTCTATTTGACGAGGTCGACATATTCATAAGAAGTATTGCTCCATGTTCGCCACGTCTGCCGGCGCGTATGCTACTCATGAATATGAGCCCCTGGCGCGGCTTGAAACTAGTCGAGTTGCTCGTCAAACAGTTACGGAGTTAGCCGTTAAATATTAATTGATGTGACGGTTATTTCTAGAAGTATCTACGATTAAAAAAATACTATTGGAATGTTTACTTTTCTTTACGTATAAATGTTATCTCAATACACTTCTACAGGATCGGGATCGGGGCCTACCTCGAAATCTAAATTTCATGCGGGAGAAATCTAAATTAGGTGCATGCGGGGATTACAAGTAAAGCCACAGGCACAACAGAACTAGAGCCTAATATCTTAAACTCAAATTTAATCAACATTAAACAGTTCATGTAACATATTCTTCTGATATAGGTCTATAATTAGCTGGATTCTTCAAGAAAATTGATAAATTATCGCTACAGACAACATCAACTAACTTTTCTAACGTATACCATGCTATACATACATATTTACCTCCTTTACATTGAGAGCGAGATTGACATATTTTGATAGCAAAATGCCTTGAATCGTAACATACTATAGTTATGGTACTTAGGACCTGTTTCGCAGTGTCAATAACATTTCTAAGATAAACTTAATTAGAGATTTGAATTAAACTTAAACTAACGAATAACTTGATGTATATTCTATCTTCTATAATCTATTCTAATAAAGCTGAAGAATTTGTTTGTTCGAAGGCGCTAATCCTCGAAACTATTGGTTTCGTCGAGTGAGTGGTTACCAGAGGCCAATTTACCCCCATCTTCAATCTCCCCAATTCCAGAACCCAACAATCCTCAAATTCCTAGTCCCCAAAAGGCCGCTAACACACTTGTAACGCCTTTCCTGTCCCCAGGTGTCCATGGGCGACACCGATTGCTTACCATCAGGTGATCCGTCTGCTCGTAATATTTGTAAACCGCGTTTTAGTTGCAAGAAAATGTTGCTCTGAGTCAATAGAAATACATATTACCTCTTGGTCTGGGCGTTTGTTGGGCTTGGTTCTTCACGGACGAGAGACTCTCGTCGTCGCTTGAAGAACTCTGCACGATGTCCAGCAACTCTTGGACGCGCTGTTGCATTATTCTGTGGACAATATATGTACATTATAACAAAAAATCGGTAAATAAACTTATAATTACAAATTACTAGCTGTTGCCCGAGAATTTGACCGCGTAGAATCCTGAATATCCCGATTAAATGCTTCCATGGGATTAACCCATGGAAGCATTTAATCGGGATATTCTATCACCTAAGTCTACCCTCAACCAGCCTGTATAGCTCATTTTTTCCTTGCGATGTTTGATTTCACCCTATATCAGTTATGGTGTCTTAATATTCTGAGAAAGTAAGTACATAATAGTGCGTGTTTTAAAATTTCTAGTCATTCAAGTAAAATCATACAGTTTCAAATAAAACTAGCGACCAGTTTTTAGTTTTTAGTTAAAAAGTAACTACATATACAAGTGAGAACAAAATAAATAACACAAGATAACTTTTTTTAATACATAAATAAATACCACGTGTTAAATTGTATAGAAACTAACGACAATGTGGGAACATTCCTAATAATTTGGTCATTAACAAATTTCAGCCTTAACAACTAGTCATTAGGGTTGCAATTACTGTCACAGATATTTCTATTGTCCTATGTAAATACCAGGAATCGCCTGCCGATAAGCTCATAACTATCCATTGTTAAAACCGGTTATTTACAAAACGAGTTTCGGCTCCTTGTCGCTTGGCGTCAGAGTATAAAAGGAGCGCCATTTTGAACGACCATTCATTTCGTATCTGCGCTCCGAAGTGAAAAGACGTTTCATTCATTGTGCCGTAACCTTCCGTCAGTACGCTACTACATTGCAGTGCTTCAGTGAATTTAAATAAATCTATTAAACTATGTACACGTTGCATAAATCAGTTTAAAAAATGTGCGCGTATAAACCAAAACCGAAGGGAAAAGAAGACAAGAGTCTCAATGCCAACGTGTATCAAAGAAAGTCAAGAACACACCAGTCTGTTGCCACATCTATTGTAGTGACACTGAGAGTGGCTCTGAAGAAAACAATGTACACTGCAGCATCACAAGTATCTGCATGCCAACAACGATATAAAGAAGTGAAGAACACATCAGTCTATAATACAGTGCCACATCTATTGTAGTGACACTGAGACTGAAGCTACCAAGCGAAAGACAACAATGTATACTGCAGCATCACAAGTATCTACGTGCCAACAACGATATAAAGAAGTGAAGAACACATCAGTCTATAATACAGTGCCACATCTATTCTAGTGACACTGAGACTGATACTACAAAGCGAAAGACAAAACAATGTATACTGCAGCATCACAAATGTCTGCGTGCCAACAGTGATATAAAGAAGTGAAGAACACATCAGTCTATAATACAGTGCCACATCTATTGTAGTGACACTGAGACTGATACTACAAAGCGAAAGACAACAATGTATACTGCAGCATCACAAGTGTCTGCGGGCCAACAACGATATAAAGAAGTGAAGAACACATCAGTCTATAATACAGTGCCACATCTATTCTAGTGGCACTGAGAGAGATAGTACAAAGCGAAAGACAACAATGTATACTGCAGCAACACAAGTGTCTGCGTGCCAACAACGATATAAAGAAGTGAAGAACACATCAGTCTATAATACTGTGCCACATCTATTGTAGTGACACTGAGACTGATATTACAAAGTGAAAGACAAAAACAATGTATACTGCAGCATCACAAGTGTCTGCGGGCCAACAACGATATAAAGAAGTGAAGAACACATCAGTCTATAATACAGTGCCACATCTATTCTAGTGACACTGAGAGAGATACTACAAAGCGAAAGACAACAATGTATACTGCAGCATCACAAGTATCTGCGGGCCAACAACGATATAAAGAAGTGAAGAACACATCAGTCTATAATACAGTGCCACATCTATTCTAGTGACACTGAGAGTGATACCACAAAGCGAAAGACAAAACAATGTATACTGCAGCATCACAAGTGTCTGCGTGCCAACAGTGATATAAAGAAGTGAAGAACACATCATTCTATAATACAGTGCCACATCTATTGTAGTGACACTGAGACTGATACTACAAAGTGAAAGACAAAACAATGTATACTGCAGCATCACAAGTGTCTGCGGGCCAACAACGATATAAAGAAGTGAAGAACACATCAGTCTATAATACAGTGCCACATCTATTCTAGTGACACTGAGAGAGATACTACAAAGCGAAAGACAACAATGTATACTGCAGCATCACAAGTGTCTGCGGGCCAACAACGATATAAAGAAGTGAAGAACACATCAGTCTATAATACAGTGCCACATCTATTCTAGTGACACTGAGAGAGATACTACAAAGCGAAAGACAACAATGTATACTGCAGCATCACAAGTGTCTGCGTGCCAACAACGATATACAGAAGTGAAGAACACATCAGTCTATAATACAGTGCCACATCTATTGTAGTGACACTGAGAGTAATACTACAAAGCGAAAGACAAAATAATGTCTTTCGCATATACTGCAGCATCACAAGTGTCTGCGTGCCAACAACGACATATAAAGAAGTGAAGAACACATCGGTCTATGATACAGTGCCACATCTATTCTAGTGACACTGAGTGATACTACCAAGCGAAAGACAACAATGTATACTGCAGCATCACAAGTATCTGTGGGCCAACAAAGATATAAAGAAGTGAAGAACACATAAGTCTATAATACAGTGCCACATCTATTGTAGTGACACTGAGAGTGATACTACCAAGCGAAAGACAACAATGTATACTGCAGCATCACAAGTGTCTGTTTGCCAACAACGACATAAAGAAGTGAAGAACTCATCAGTATTTGTACAATTGAAATCCAAATTGTTAGCAAATAAACAAATATAAATGTAAAACATTGTTGTTATTATTTTTAAGAAAATCCTAATTAAGACATACGCCTTCTGATCAAGGGTCAAACTTATTTACTCTTGTAAAAATTTACTATAGCATTCTTCAGCAGACATATTTCAACCCGGAATGTCACATTCTTGTTATAGCATTCTCCTATATGAAACCCAGTTAGAATTGACAGATCAACGAAATTTAACGGAACTAAAATCAGCTTCAAACTTATAAACATACTAGCTTTTACCCGCGGCTTCACTCGCGTCACAAAAGAATAAAAAGTAGGTAGCCTATGTGACATATACCAATACACACGGCGCCATCTGTACCAATACTTTAGTTTTTCCTCGGGAATATCAATTTTTCCGGGTTAAAAAGTACCCTATTATTTAATCCGGACTTCTAACTTTACGTCTGCAAAAATTCAAAGCAATCAGTTGAGTAGTTACGGCGTGATAGTGGAACAAACAAACAAACTCACGTTCAGATTTATAATAATATATAGTATAGTATAGTAAGGATATTAGTAAGGAAGTAAGGATAGTAAGGATAACCGAGTAACAACTTAAATTTCATAACTATTTGTGTGATTTACAAATTGTTGTTCCAAGTGTGGGTATGTTTGTATGTTTGTAAACGCACCTTCCCCATTATGGGAGCCTTGTTCAAAAAATACAAACTTACCTTTGCAGTTTCACAGCGTCCTTGTACAGTCTTGAAGTAGGTATGTTGTACTGTTTCGCGTTCTCAAACATGATGTTCATATCACCAGCCACTTCAGACAACGTCCCGTAGTTGCCCCGTCTGATCTTATTTTTTATTTGGTTCAATGACACTGGATTCTTGATCTCCTTGTAGTAGTCAGGGTACGCCCGACGAGATGGAAGCTTCCAGAAAGCCTCTAAACCTGTAAATGAAGCGCAATTTTTCATCTAATAAAATATAGTATGATGACCGGCTCGAATCACGGCAAGTTTGTCGTGGTAGTGGTTGCGAGACCGCGTATTGTGTATTTCAAACGATTTGACTTCAGTTTCTGTAAATGCAGTTTATTGAAAATTATTATTCGCCTCTTTTAGTTTTAACACAAATTCCCGTTCTTGTTCTAACGATCGTATCGTTAGAAATACCTTTGAATCGTAAAGATTCAAAGGTCATTAATGGCAATGGAAATCATTCCGCACAATAATGAGAACTCTTGCCATGATTCGTGCCGGGGACTATAGAAGATATGTATAGAAAGTGCTAGAACTAAATACTACCGTTTGGACCCAAATGGTTCTTGATAGTTTCCAGAAGTTTCCATTGTGGCGAGTCTTCGTTTTCATTTTTCTCTTCGTCACTTTCGCCGGCGCTGTCTTCTGAATGCTGATGGAACAGAATAATATTGATATTAGTTACAATAAGTAACAACGATTCCTTGATACATCAAATTTGTAAATGTAGCTTTTTGGCATTTCATTCTCGACTAGTTTCAAGCCATACTAGCTACTCGTAAATATGAGCCTCTAGTGTGGCTTGAAACTAGTTGAGCTCTTCGTCAAACAGTCTGAGTAAGAAACTTAAGAGTGAGAAAATAAATTAATCAGTTTTGTTAAACATAATAATTAATTTCATATATCTCACGAGATATCTATTACAAAAATAAAGAATAACAAGACTGAAACCTATTAAGAAAATTACAAGAGCCAAATTAATCCATTCAATAATACCTTTACATCAGGCTCTGTGTCTGACCCGGGTGGTTCCATGATGGCAAGCGCCTTACTATTGGGCACAGGTCCAACTCTAGAAGTCCTCTTACTTCGGATACGCTCGGAAGTCTTCGCCGGTCCACTGCGGCCATGCTGGTCTATCTCTTGTTTGCGCATTTGAATCACCTGAAGTATAACCTTTAACATCAATGGTCGTCTAAGTCGAGAGGTGATAATGTATGGTGCTCTGAAATTCCTATAATATCTTGTTGATGTGCAAAAAGAAAAGTTAGGAACTATGTTTTGTTCTTCATTTATTTATTTATAATTTACAACAATATAGACTAACAGTATTATATCTACCAAATCGTCTACATGTCATTAAATACACAATTAAAATATTTATCTAAGTATTAGTAGTAAGAAGTATTCTACATTCCCACATCAAAAACATTTTCTATGCTTATTAAATTTATATCTAATGTTTGAACTGCCTTTTCATCATGTTGTAGTTGTTTAGATGTATAAATGAAACAATGCCTGATTCTCAGTAATTGCATAGGCTAAGAATCTACTTTAAGAAATTGAATCAACTGCATAATCTTAAAAAAAAATGTGATAATGTAATAAATGTTAAAATAAGAACTAGGAAATTGCAAATTAAATATTCGGAAACAATATAAAATCTACACTGAATAATATCATTAGCTAACTAAAAGAAAATACATCAAAAAATATAAGTAAACCAACCTTCTTCAAAGTCTTAGCATCCTTATAGATCTGACTGCCAGGTTCATTGAAATGACAGGCATTTCTAACCATCAGTAGTAAATCCTTCTCCAGCTCTGTCAGGTTGGTATATTCTCCACACTGAATCTTCTGGGCGATGGTTTTCAGGTCTATGGGAGAGTCTATAATACTATAATACTCTGGGTAGCGACGCTTGGATGGTAGAAACTGGAATGCTGAGTAAAGATGCCGGCCATCACTGTTTGCTGTCATCACCTGGAAAAGGAGGGCACAATTTTAGCACACTTACATAACACGCCTTTAAACCCCGAAGGGGTAGGCAGAAGTGCACATTAGGGCACTTAATACCACTGTACAATGTAACACCCACTTTTCACTATTTATGTTATGAGTCCCATGTAATAGGAGGTGAGCCTATTGCCATATACCGGGCACAATTCCAGACTCCGTGCTACTGCTAAGATATTTCTAAAATACAGTAATGCTTTGCCCGACCCGGGAATCGAACCCGAGACCCATTGCCCGGCCAGTCGCACTTGCGACCACTCGGCCAACGAGGCAGTCTTTAGAACACTTATCAACAAAATTTTAATATGTACTTAGTAACTACTGAAGTAACTACTAGTTACTTACACAATTATGATTATAACCAGTTTTCTACTTGTGTTATCAAATCCTTTTCTCATCTACTATTACATAAATCTGAAGAGTTTGTTTGTTTGTTTGAACGGGCTAATCTGAGGAACTTCTGGTTCAATATGAAAAATTGTTTGGTTTTAGATCTATTTATAGAGAAAGGCTATAAAACATCATGCTACAATTCATACACATAAACCTTTATCAGGAAACACTATCTATTGGTTCACAACACAATAATCCACCTAATAATTATTAAGATCATACAGGCGATACATGCAAACGAATGTAAAAGCGGATTCCTTTTTCACTACAAAACAAAGTTGCTATCCGCCATCTGTGTATGCTTAGATCTTTAAAAGTACGCAACGGTTTTTGATGCGAATTTTTTTAATAGATAAAGAGATTCTTAAGGAAGATTTATATGTACAATTTTACCCGTGCGAAGCCGGGGCGGGTCTCAAGTATAATATGTAAAGATAATACAATATCTTCTAACCATTTCAATTACTTACAGCATTAAACAGTTCCTCAAAGACGTTATCCTCTTCGTTATTGGTAGAAGTTTCAGAAAGATCCTCGGCCACATCAGATCTTCGACTGGATGAGCCGTTTCGAGACAGTTTGGGTATCTTGATATCTTCACCTTCGGGGCAAAATAAATACTGTTAAGTAATTACTTAAATATATTCATGAATTAAAATTCTCTGGTGTTGCTATGGGCGTAAGCTAGTATCCTTACTATCCTTACTAATATTATAAATTGGAAAGTGAGTTTGTTTGTTTGTTCCGCTTTCACACCGTAAGTACTAAACCGATTGCTTTGAATTTTTGCAGACGTGAAGTTAGAAGTTAAATAATAGGGTGGTTTTTATCCCGGAAAAATTTGATATTCCCGAGGGAAAAAAATGGTGCTGTGTGTATTGGTATGTCACATAGGGTACTTTTTATCCTTTTGTGACGCGTGCGAAGCCGCGGGTAAAAGCTAGTTTAAATATAAATCAATAACTATTGCAATTCAACTCACCATTCTCTAAAGCCTGTTTAGTCTGCATGTACAGTTTCCAGAGGTCTACCGCATCCCTGTACTCCACTGTGTCAGGCTTGTAGAATGCCTTCGCATTGTTCACCAGCAGTTCAATATCCGCAGACAACTCCTCAATGTCCTCATAAGTATCGGTTTTCAGTTTTTGTTGAACCTAGAAATAAGTTTTGATAATTGATAGAATGAGGTAGACAAGGTCACATAAGAATAACAAGACAAAATAATTTATATTTTTGTTGGATTTATGTGTATAAGAACATTTTTTTTTTTTGAGATAAGCCGGTAAACGGGCGGACGGATCACCTGATGGTAAGTAATCGGCGTCGACCATGGACACCCGAAACACCAGAGGCGTTACAAGTGCGTTACCGGCCTTTTGGGAATAGGAGTTTGAGGATTGTGAGGGATTCGGGGATTGGGGGGATTGGGGGGATTGGGGGGATTGGGGGGATTGGGGGGATTGGGGAGACTAGGGTGACTAGGGAAGGGGGTCCGGTAACCTCACTTTTTTTATGGTATAGGAGGTAAATGAGCAGTCGGATCATATATGATTATATCCTCTAGACACCGAAGCCTCTTTTAAAATCACTTGCGATTACGGCCGAATGTACTAAATAAAGCATAAAATTATTATTGCTGCTAAGACCGAGACCTTTCAGGTTAAATAAAACATAAACTAAGGGTTTCCAGGGTTTTCACTAAAACAAACGTTTTTTAGTATTTTTTAACAAAGATATTGAGCATGTTTGTGTTTAGGTATCTTTCGTTCTATAAATAGGACTTTCGGTCGTTATGGCATTAGTAGGGTAGTTGTATAAATTAAACAAATAGTTTAATTTGTTTACATAATTTTTATTAAATGACACAAATTAAGAAACAAAAACCATTTTAATAAACCTAATCAACAATAATTTCTTTTTAAGTTGGTTCATATGACCTTCCAAAAATTTTAATATCCAAACAACAATCATTAGCAATCTCTTCATTATCATTTATTATATCAAAACAACTTAAATCTATATTTGGTCAAATTGAGATCAATCGTTGTACCTAAACAAAAACTAAATATTGCAATCAACTTCTATAAAAAAAAATATAAACTCACATGAAAATTGAATGTCTCATTCAATATTCTGAGATCCTTCTCGGTGTCTAAAAAATAACATGAATCAATAAAAAATAATAGTAATCACAATGAGATACACAGTATAACTTTATAAAGAACTGTGAAAGTCTACAAAACAATTGCGGTCTTGTGTCAAACATAAATGCATGTTACAATTGATGCAAACTACCATTGTTTTTTTGGTGCACGTAGGATTTCGGCAGCGTTGTTGTTTTCGCTGCATATCAGGCAAATGATTAGCTGCATGAATGCGTTTAGCCATGGGAGGTAAAGGTTGTGCAAATTTTCTGCCACGTTTTCGATACTGCTCCTCTTCTTCTTCGACGTCAGATTCAGGTCTCAAAGTTCTATACATATTTTTAAGAATCAAGAACTCAGAAAACTCCATTTTAAACTCTCGTAACTTCAATATTTTATGGACAGCTTTTCCCAATTCTCTATGATCCTTTTTGTATTTTATCCAAGAGTTGACAATTGCGAGATCTAACATGTGGGAGATGAACCTCACCGTCCATTTTTTGGTACGATGTCGTGATGGACACACAGCCAACAACCTGTCTGCAAGGTCCACTCCTCCCATGTTAATGTTATAATGACTGACGATTTCTGGCCGTTCAACAGGAATGTACTGTTTCAGCCTTTTATCATACCTTTGAACTGTATCAGTGGTATCCGCGGCGTGAATGCTCGAGGCAAACAAGATCGGTTTATTATCGAACCATTTTGTAATAGCAATGGCTTTATCCTCTCGCACTAGGACATCATAACTGCCTCGACCTCTGCGAGAAAGACATTTGTCGCTTTCGAGATCACTTCTCAGGTATCCTGGAATTCTATTTTTCATGATCGTTCCTGCACACTTAAAGCCTCTTGAATTAAGTTCCTCGATAAGTTTAAAAGTTGTGAAGTATCGGTCACAATAGATGACATGTCCAGGCACCAAGGTTTCAGTTAATTTTAAAACTACATTTTCACACAAAGAATATCTAGCCTCAGACTCTTCAAATGTCGTACTCCCTTGGTAAACCAACATATCACATACCAACCCGTTGGGGTTGGCGAGAACAAACGCTTTTAAACCTGTTGGATGTGGTTTTCCCGGACAATATTGTCTAATTGCACAAGCACCGGTAAAAGGAATAATCATTTCATCGATCGATATCTTTTGATACCGTTCTTGCGCGCGACAGCCTTTTATTATTCGATCTAAAATATACCGAACTTTCCAAAGTTTATCCTTCTGTCTTTCTTCAGCAGTAACATCAAGATCATATACTAGCTTCAATGAGTTTCGCAGCTGAATGTATCTGTCGCGAGACATGGCCTCAGTTATAAGGGGAATAGCGTATTTGCGATTCCAGTACATCCTCAAATACGGGTAATTGATGCATGACATAAGCAAAGTTATACCCACATAAGTTTTGCACTCCTCAATAGATAACCTGAGAGGCCTACCAAATTTTTCAATAGCTGTCTGGTTAGATTTTTCCACTATAACTCGGTAAAGCTCCTCATCTAAGTATTCCTCCACATAAGCGTTTATAATTGAAGGATCTGTCATGGACGGTAAGTAAGACGGAGAGGTCAAACTTGGCAAAGGAACTTCAAATTTGCTTCGTTTCCAAGAAGCAACATCTTGTGGGCGACTTGGACCAAGTCTGCGAGTGCCACCACGCGTACGAACTCGAGCACCAGCTCGGCGTCTGCCCCGACCTTGACGACCAGCTGTAGTCCTGCCGATACCACTAGAACCAGCCCGACCCTCTGGTAAGCTGCTATCATCATCGCTGTCGCTCAAGTCTTCATCTTCCGATGATTGAGCTGTATCACTCCTATCATCGGTAGGCATTAAACACCCAACGAAATCTGCGTCGTCACCCGAGTCTTCAAACTCGGAGTTATTTAAGATTTCAGTGATATCGGTGACTTGTAACGCTGAAAATAATAAATACCTATTATTAGTATTAACGCCGAAAGTACTATAAATACGATCAATTCCGTATACCTCAGTTATGAAGTCCGACCGAAAGTACTATTAATAGGTTTAAATAATTTACGACGGTATAATTCCTTAATTATTTTATATTCTTCCTCAAAATTAAGTGAATTCCATAGAATGTTTAGTAACTAACAGTTCAATAAAAAAACTAAACTAAAACAAGTAAAATTATAAAAAAAAACACAAATTTTACTTACCTCGTCGACCACGTGCTGCCATTGTTGTAAACTCCTGAGCACGCGTCGCAACAATGGCGGCCGCTCGGAAAGAAATTTCTATCGAAATCCAAGGACAAACTATCGCCATTGCTTTATTTTCATTGGTTAAAAGAAATCATATGACCAAAACTTTTTTAGCGGGAAAAAACAAACACTCGGGAATTGATGCTATAAAAAGGTCAGTCGGTCGTACTCGAAGCCCAAAGTTCAAAAACGTTCGGCCTTTACAGCAAGATTTATTTAATACTATTTATAGGACTCCAGGTGTCTAGAGGATATGTTTTTATTGATTTATTTTGGTTACTTTGTAAGTAGTTTAATTCTTGGTTTAAGCTTTCATTGTTTGTTATATTGTTGTTGTTATGCACTGTGTTATATATATGTTGTATTTATTTATCTTATTACAGGGTTGCAGGAAAAAATCTCTTAAGGGATATGCAGTACTTATGTAGCTTTGGTTTGTAACATATTTTATCCTGTGTATTGTCTGTGTACATAAACTATAGGTATAGTAAATAAGTTAATAAACTATCCAATGCTAGTTTCCCTCATATTAAGAGTAAACACAATAATAAAATATACACAATTTTATGCTTCACAGTATTTTTGTGCCTAACTAGAAATCACGAACCTACTATAAGCATGCTTTACAAACAAAAATTAGCATTTATATAAATAAAAATACACTTACTCTCAACAAGTCAATAGGTTGGGATACAACTTCATAATACTGCGGCTCCTGACGCCTCTTCGGAGCTCTGATGAATGAGTCACAGAGCAATGTGCCATCTTCTTTTTTGTATGATCGAATTGTGTCATATAATTGCTGGCAGATTTCACCCTAGAAAAACATTTTAGAATACAATTATTTAGGAATGGTACGATGTCGTAGCCTGACATCCTATTGTCTCTACCTGGATGGATTATGTATGTTACATACATACATAACAATGGTATCCAATGACTTTTTATTTAATTTTTAAATGTTTAATAATTTATATTTGGTCGGAACAGAGAATTACAAAAATATACCTATAACAACTATCTTGCAATCGCTGAACATGTTGTTATGTTGCTGAGAACAAATCTCGAGAACATCTGAACTGATTTTGCTTATATTTTTCTGCGTTTTTATTACTAGAAGGTTCCTATGTAAAAACGAAAAAAATTCTTAGGCGAAACAAAGTTGAAAGTTTAACTAGCCTAGTTGTTAAATGTATACGAAACATCACAACCATAGTTTTACAGAATAAGTTTAGAGATAGGATAGAAGTGTAGAGAGATGTAACAACCACTTGTCTCCAGAAAACAACCTTATCTACATATGCATAAAATAAACATGTACATGTGTGAATAGTGATAATATCAAAAGTTTGAAAGTTTAACAAAATATTACAAGTTCATATAAAAATACGCCGGCGGCGGCGCGTTGCTAATTTGCGTCTCCAACAGTTCACTAAAGCCTACTTACGGGGTCTAACTTCTTCCGTTTCCGAGCCGATGGTGGAGGCCCAGGATTGCTTAACTCAATACCATCGTCACTATCGTCTAAATCAGCTCCACGCGAAGCCCCTGATGATGCACGACGTCTTTTGCTCATTTTCAATCAATGTTTCACTCAGAATATACGGCCTAAATTAAAATATAAAACTGAACTGTTGCATTCTTATGGAACTACCTTACTGATATCAAATTCTAGTCACGATTACATTTAATTACACAATAAAATTGCTTCTCATTTCAAGCAAAGAAAACCAAATCAAATAATTATGTCGTATATAACACAAACGCTAAGCGAGCGTAGGTAGCGATGGCGATGAGATTGTTTCAAATAATTCGGTTTTTAACATTATGCCGAGTAAAGAAAGATGGCAAGATTCATAGTTCTACAGGAGTGAAAGAGATGTATGACTACTTAAGCTATTATGTAGACAAGAATACGAATGTAGACGGAATGCAATAGAAGTTCATCGACAGATTGACGCTGTTGACAGGTCACAGATAATATAGACTTTTTTGTTACCTACTACACTCCACAAAAGCTTGTTCAGCCAAGAACGTTGATTTAAACGTCCTTATTTTCCAGCTTAAAGAATACTTCAATTTGCAGATATCCTCCTGAACTTCTCGTTATACTAAAATTAATAAATAAGTAAATATTATGTAAGGTGACCAGCAGGTCAACCTATCCTTTTCTATTATATTTCTCTAATACATCTTCAACTGAAGAGTATTGACATAAAGTATAAAATCCAATGAATTTCAACAGATTGGAGTTGGTTCATCGGCTGGCCACTGCATATACAGCTATAAAAAATATATTAGAAAAATATTTTGTGAACTACCCACGCAATTATCATAGAGAAAAATGTTTATTTTCAGCCTCTACCGTCATTTCCATATTTTAACGTTTTAAATGGTATTCATTAAATAATAAGCGACTGCGACGTACGTACGTTATTGAGCATTTTTTTTTCTAGAGATTTCAATTATCGAATTCAAAATTAATATTCCAACTATGGATAAAACCGTTATTCCAACGTCCATGGAAAAATTATATAAAAATCTCATATTTTGTGGCGAAATCGATTTTTACTGCATAGGATGTAGAGAATTATTTCATAGCATACCAGAAGTGGAAAAACATATACGATGGGAAAAACACAGAACGTTTTTAAAAAATCAAAGTTATATATCAAGCTACAAGAAAGATTGCATTCTTAAGGTATGTCTTTTTGTTTTTCTAGTTATATTTTATTTTACAATATTTATACGTATCTGAATAAAAAGTTTGTTTCAGATACATGAACACTTTTATTGCGAAATATGCAACTATGTTTTCACTGATAAAGATCATATTATTATACACATCGAAAGTGAGAGCCATATATCTACAAAAATGAAGAGGAATACTGGGCCCCCGACTGAACCTCCAAAGTTTATAGGAATTTATGATTCTGAATATGTAGTCATAAAGAAAGTCATACTGGATATGCCCCAGTGGAACACCATAACTAACCAGAAGTGTTATGTGTGTGATGAAGAAGTTCCAAATACTTTAATTCGTAAACACATGAAATTTGGAGGACATATAATCAACTTAATTCAGTCTAAAACCATATATGAAGAAGAGCGATACTACCGACTGGTAATTTAAAAATGTTATTTACTTCCTAACTAACAAAAATTCGATAAGGGTACAATGTACATTAAGCAAAAAATCAAAGCAACATGCTGTAATTGAGAATAAAGATACCAAATAAATATAATTATTTGACGACCTAGTGTACTCGTACAGCTCGTACTAGTCTGCTTAGTTGCATTAATGTGGTGGGTTCAAAGAGTATAATAAGTATAGGATTGGGGGTTGTAAACTGTAAGGACGTTAGCAGGTTGCGCACTTTATATTCCACCTACCCCCTTGTGACAAAATTGTTAGATTGTACATATAAAACATGAAAGATAAAATTTGTGTATCTAGTAGGTACAGCTTGGCAAAAAAGAATTTGACTGAATCACCCCCATGTACTTTCGTGCTCTACCTAGAATCTAAGAGCCCATCTCCAAATTAATTCACTTTAAATAAGTTATAAAGGCAATAACAAAGCATACATTTACACAGTAGTATACACGCCACAATGGTAAGTGGTTACCGTTGCATTAGTAAACAAGAACACCTGCAACTACAGAGGTACAACCAATACATTGCCAAACGTGCTCTATCGTATCATCACTTACTACTGGGCGAGATAGTGGTCAAACGTCGGCCCATCAAATATAAAAACTACGGAACCCTCACTAGACGAATAGTAGCAACACCAATACTTAAATGGGGCCTACTATATTTTTCTTTCATTCTTTGTCCAGTAGGCAATAGCTAGTGCCACACAAACCATTGGACGTTCAATATTTGTCAGCTGGTGTGGTTGGACAAAACACCTCTTTATATATTTACGCCATCTGGTGAGCAAAAAACGTTAACTCACTTTGGGAACAACGTTGTAATCGCCAAATGGATGGTATTTATGTACCTGATTTAACTACGAGTTTCTCTTGAATTTTTTTAATACTAGCAAGGGTTTTTACTAAAATCTAAGACACTAATACATCTTTATGATAAAAATGATTGACGATTTAAAACCACCATCATTTATTATAGTAGATAATTATTTACCTGCATGTGGCAACATTCGATACGAATGGCCTTTGTTTGTATTTTGTAAACAAAAACCAAAAAGCTCATTCAATTTCGAAGATTTCGAGTTCAAAGTCGAGCCTCGGTATTTTTTATAGCTTTGATGTTAAAAATTTGTGCCTGTGAACGTAGTAAATTAGGTAAGACATTTTGTTAAAAAATATGGAGTGTGTATATAAATAAAAATTCTGAAGTTACAGAGGTTTTGTTTAAGTACAGTCAACAATAATAATAAACGTTCTTCCGTCCACCGTTACCGTCGCGTACATTTTTGTTTTGTTGAATTGGTTAACTAACATCATGGTCATTTTGTATGCTTTGCGAACTACTGTCTATTTGCTATAATAACTACTAACTAGGTTTCTGCCTTTAAATAGCAATGAAGCAAGCGAATGTTTTATTTGAATAATTATCCTATCTTAAATATTTACATAATTTGATAATTTAATTACCACATACAGAAATAATTAGTTTGATAAGTTATTATTTCCCTAATAAACAAGTCGTTACTAAATTTTTAAAATCATAATTTCAGGTTTGCAGAAATCAGCGTTTCTGCTTTACATGCAAAAAGACTTTCTCAGCTGAAGATTTTGACGATCACTGGAGCACCTGTCAAAACATTGAAGTACTTGAGATCCAGAGACTGAAAGAAACCAGAACTGCCGCCATGGAGGACATAGCTAAGATGCAGGAAATTCAAAAAAAGCTAATTAGTACTGTACAAGAGTTCTACTGGGTAGATGAAAAAAACAACATTGCAACATGCAGATACTGTAAGACAGTTGTAAATATACTGTTCAAGCCAATGATAGATCACATGAAAAATAAACATGATAATCATCAATCATCTGACGAATCTTCTTCTGATGAAGAAGTTCAATTTAGTGAAGTTATAGACTTTGGCAAACGGAGAAAAGAATTGGCTGAATTTGGCAGACAACACCATGTCAGACTCAATCACAATGCCAGTAAAGGATGGTGCTCAGTTTGTGACTGCTACATGTCTGCCCATAAAAGGGTTTTTAAAATTCATATTCGAGGATACATTCATAAGGGTTTCTTAGAAATCCAAGGTTTAACTCCTCCAGTGCATGAACCTGAGCCAAGAGATTTTAAAACAATTTCTGTTTATGACTATAGCTTGGAATATATACCTTCAGAGAAAGCATTTCATATTGATAATAAATATGTTGTGGATGTATTCAGCTTTTTCCTATTGTTTAAAATCGAGGGTAATCCACATGTGAAGAAAACAAAATGTTTTGCATGTAATGAATTAATTGCGCAAGGGCAAGAGCGCAAACATTGTGAGACTGCTGAACATAAGGAGAAATTTCTAGAAGCTAAACTTATAGAACCCGGGAAGAATAAAGATGCTCCTAATTTTGGGGAATATATCAGAGAAGTATGTGGTCTCATTTAATAACATTTTTGTTCCTCCAGTTTTAAAGCTTCTATAAACCTTCAATACCAAATATTGATGAAGTAATTAAAATTGTATAATGTATAATAGGAACATTATTTGTTTCAGATAAAGCCAAACTTGTATCATTGTGGATTATGCAATCGTACTTTTCCGTTCAGAGCATCATTGGAGTTTCACAAGGCATCAAATGGACATCAATCGATAAAGACCAACCGAATTGTAAATCCCGAAGCACCAGCTATAGTATTTAACACAAGACATGATGATGTTTACATAAAACTTTTGACAATTTGTTTAAAGGACCAAGCTAAGTAATATGAAGTACCTATATACTTCTCCTATTACGTGGGATTAAATTTAAAATAACTGAAATCTATTAACCTACCTCATTCTGACATATTATGTTAGGTATAATTTTTATGTGCTGACTGTACTCGTGTCAAATTAGTTTTTTAAGTTTTTTTTATTTTAAATAATTTAATGGCTACCTCATACAAAACAAACTCATTATAAAATACGATATTAATATCACATTAACCCTATTCTTGGTAAACAATTTGATACTAACTAATTACTAACAATAACTATTACTTGTATTGCCAAGCAAAATGTCCTGCCAAGATTAGGATAAATGGGTTACTCATTTTTGTTGAGATTATTCTTAAGAAGTTTCAATAACTAGGGCCATAATAATGGCTACCACCCCTTATTACATGAAAATTATAACTGGTTTATATGATATGTGTCAACCCTTCGGGGTTTACAAGGCCAGGCTACACCTGATCTAGTACAAATTATTGTCAAAATTATATGAATTGATGTTCCTATTTAACATTTTAGTTTTTTGATTATTGCAGTCTACGAAGAGTTTATTTGGCTTTTTCGAATTATACATCTTGTATACAGCTTATGGACATTAAGTGTTGGTTTGATGGCAGCACTTGTTAACAAGCTAATCAATTAAATGCCATAAGCTTTAGCTCTTTAAAAAAAAATAAAAATTAGTTTTTTAAGTTTTGACTGCTTCTTTATTTGTAGTGATTACAAACATGATTGTTGAGTAAGAAGTATAGGGTTCAATTCCTATGTTGATCGAAGCAGAAGCTTACCCTGTTGGAGTAAAATGGGTGATGATATTTTTTATGCGTACCTAATAGTAATTTTAAAGACTGAAAACTTTGAAATGTATTTTATAATATTATTAATGAAAATAATTATGTTTATTTACAAAATTAAGTGAATAAAATGTAATACTTAGGTATTATTATAGAAGGCTGATTTTTTAAGGCTGATTTACTTTCTTCTTAAATAATATGTAATTGTATTTGAAACTATGTGACATTACAGTGCTAGAGACCAACATATTGTATCATAATTTTCTAGTTTTTATATACAATTATTATATTTTAATAAATAAAACATTTTCATTATTCAGTAAATTCATTTTATTTATAATAAACATCAAACCATTGTGGATAATGTGACAATAACATAATTAAATCATTCCTACATTTTAAACTAGATAAAAACTTATTAGTAGATTCAATAAAATCTTTTTGTATTGACGGAGCTAATTCTTCAATTTTAGTATCTAATAATACTACTATGTGGCTCAAATGAGCAGGATACAATAATGAGAATTGATTAGAGCTACTATTTTTTACATTCTCGATAAATATTTGGATAAATTGTTGTATTCTGGGGTCAAAGTTGGTCATTATAAACAGATAATTAAGTATGCTATAACATATTTGAAAACAATTAGCGGAAAAAGATGCTTTATTCACCAAATCTTTTAAATCTGTATTAGAGTTATAAATACTATCAATATTTAAGTCTTTGTCATTTAAAATACTATAACTAATTTCCAACAGACATTTTTCAATTCCAGTTTTAAACTTTATTGAGATATCTTCAGCTATACTAGGCTGTGTACAAACACTATCACTAGCCCACAAGTTTTTTAATATCTGTATATTTTTGTTATCTGTAACATTCCAATGAATAATATCCTTTAGTAATTCATTATGGTATATTCCATTTTGATTTAAATTTAATAAAGCTTGCACTATTTCAGGATTTAGTTGCGACTTAGGATGATTGCTATTGATATTCATATCTTTTAAATTTCGAACTAAAAATGCATCTAGGTCTCTCTGTGTTGATTCGATGCCAGTCTGTGTTGAGTTCTTATTTATTTGTTCATAAAATTCCAATAAAATTGCAGTTAAGTCTTCGTTTACTTTTACGTGCTTTTCAGGTTCTACTCTGCACATTTTTCTTATGTTTTCAAGTATAGACTGTCGTAAGTTGTTGCTCGTTTTTGAGTTTTGTTGTGCTTGAGACAAGTTTAGGATTTTTACGAAACTTTTCGAAAGTGCCTTCGCTACATTTTTGTCGAGCGCCGGATTTTCGTAAATGAACCGAGGACATGTTAAGTTATTCGACGTAATTATTTTCTCTATTAATTGATTATTCATTTTTGAAATCACTGGATTTAATGCAAAATAAAATGTAAACAAAGATTCCCTCCCAGGCCAACTTTTTTTTGACTTTGATTGACAATTCCAATGTCACCCACCGGCCACCCGTCAACGACATCTGTCACTGTCAAACTCCCTTTGCAATATCAACACGCTTGCATTCATATGAATAAAACTAATAAATTATTATAATTATTAATTAATTATATAAAATTTTACAAGTCTATATTTGTAGGTACGTATGTACCTTTATAAAAATTATCCATATTAACTTATTTTAATAATGTATTTGTATACGATGCCATCTAGTGTTGAGAAGATGAAAGTTCGTCAATACAAAGGCATCTGATTTTCAGTGCTTCTATTCGATAATAGATGGCAGTGGAAGGTCTCTGAACTAACTTGTCAGCAATGTGTTACTATTAGGCGATAGATGGCAGTAAGTCACTTTTTTTGAGTTCTTTTTAGCTATGATATTTTTAAATTTTTTTCCCCTATTCTAATTTCAGATATATTTAATTTTTGCACTTCTGTCTCTAAAACAAACTATGAATAAAAGGCTTTTAGGAGGTTCTACTCCTCAAATTTTAGCTACACTTCAATCTTGCAATTTGAAAAACATAATAATTTAATCATAGTATATTAGCACCATGAAACAGCAGAAACTAGATTAGCACAAACCTAATTAGAAGAACTAATGACAGTTGATAGACATTTTCAAGTAGTATGCAGACGTAGTGTAGGGCGGCCTCTGGTGGGAGTAGAAATCTCACTTGGAAAATTTATGACAGTGGTTGGTTGCGAAGAGGTACAATTTGAGCGTTCTAGTGTGCACATTTACAAGATGGACAAGAACAGGCTGAAGATAGCGATTCAATTTATGCTTCCCATGGGTACTGTAGAAGCTATACATACCTATATCATTAAAACAAGTCTTACATTAGGACCAGAGCCGCATTATCCCCAAGGCAAACTATACATGTTCCTAGGGCGCCAGGTTACTGAGGGGCGCCGCCCAACTGCCAATAGTGGCTGCGGCGCTAAAAGAAATTAGGGACGTCTATGAGGTGCATGCTTATGTCCCTCTGACTAGTTTTAATTCACCTCAGATTAGGATATCACACTCAGTTCAGTAGATAGTTGAGACACAGCTAGGTAGGTATGGTTCGTTCCCGAACTTGAGACTATGCTCGCGCGGAGGACTTAACGGGTTGCCGGGGCTCCGGCACGAAGGGCAGGAGTAGGAACGGGGTGGTTTTCAGTCAGTTAAGTCTGACACTTCCTCTCGCCTCACTCAGGCGGCAGAAGGAATACGATGATTTTTTCCCTTTAAAAAAAACTGCAGACTACCTATTTATTATACGGTCATACCTAACTAGATCCAGTTTTATGTAATGATTATTATTTATCTGTTATTGGTTGATTGTGAGATCTTGAATTTTTTAAGTCGTAGTGTAGGAATTGACGTTCCGTTAAATCTAGTTGAGGCTCAGTGCACTAAACTGCCTAGTTAAGAATAGATGATAGGTAGATCAGAAATACTAGAAGAATACATCCAAAAAAATATTGTGAATCATGAGATAAGATTCTCTCGTTCCCGTAGGATTTTCAGGGTGTTTTTTAAGTTATAAGAACCTTTTCCTAGTAATAACAAATATAACAAAAAATAATTAGTGAAATCGGTCCTATTCGCGCGTGATGCAAGGGAAAAATGGATTCATTTTTATATATAGGTAGTATAGATATAGATAGGCGAGTGAAACAAGTGAATTTGTTTCTACAAGCTACAAGGTAGCACTTTTACACGTCAATTTTTCAAGTGAACGATGTGGTTTGGTACTGAATCCAGTACCTACATAGGTAATCACCTATTTACCATGTAGGTTGATAAATACAATGGCATCATCATGAATATCATTGTTCGTAATTCGATGCCTTTTACTGCTCAACACAGTATGTATGATACCTATTTTTTTATGGAATAGGAGGCAAACGAGCAGACGGATCGCCTGATGGTAAGCGATCAGCGCAGCCCATGGACACCCGCAACACCAGAGGAGTCACAGAGCGTTGCCGGCCTTTTAAAAAGGAATACGCTCTTTTCTTGAAGGTTTAAAGGTCGTATCGGTTCGGAAATACCGCCATAATATTTAGGCAGGCTTCTCCCAAGTGCTATATCCTCTGATTTATTTTCTGTGATGCGCCGGACTTCAGTGCTTTGATGATTTTATGGTTGTATCTACTGTAGATCCTGGTGCACAGGAGTTGCAGCGGTTTTCCAAATTTGTGGCGGACATGTCCCATTAAAAGGAGGCTTCCCTCAAAGAACGAACCATTCCAGTTCTGTGAAGTTTTCGTCCATTTGTTCGGTGTTATTGTCATCCAATCGTCAATACTATCATAAGAATGGATTAGATATTAAGTTTTTGTAACGTAAACGTAACACCATTAAGTTAATAAGAATACCTGCCTAAACGCAGTTATTTTTCAGAAAAGTAATCGCTGCTAGTATAACCAAGTCAATTATTCGTGTACATAACGTAACGCTCTCTACATAACGTGAGTCATACAATTTGTATTGGATTTAACATCCATTTTGAAAAACACCGTGAACTCTTAATGTTCGGCGAGTGCACTTTGACACGCCTCATACATATAACGCTTTCACATACAAACAACGTTACTTCAGAACATTAAATTATCACGATAAAGCAATAAAATTCGAAGCAGAAACAAAAACAAATTCAGAAAATGCCCCATAATAACACAAGGCTTAATAGGAGAAAGTCATACTCGGGCGTAAATTAAAAAAAAAATGAGATCACTCATCAACATGAATAATAGAAGATTCGGATATCTTAATTAGCATGAATTTACACCGTTATAAAAGCGTGTAAGATGAAAAAAGGTTCATAATAATTCATATCGCCATTTCTTCGGTATATTTTCGAGTCAGTATTTGTGGGGCCCAGTTAATAAATTACGATCGAGACCTCACATAGAGCGGCCTAACTACGTGGGCCACACCGGGCCAGGCTCCGCCCGAGAGCGGGACGGAGGATGCGTGCGTCTCTGTTGCTCGTGAGGCTGTGTTAGTCCAACAATGCGTCTTAACGTTGCAATATAAAACCGGGAATGTATGTTTACTTAACGCTTAAAGGTCGCTTTTGGTGCAATTTAATTAAGTTTTCTAATTGGACGCGCCCTCGCGTCTACGCTTCGTACTTCTGTGTGTTATACGGCTTCCAGTTTAATGTTATTCTTGTCTAAGTAGCGGAACGTCCGCCCGAGATTGTTTTCAACGAGAATTAAGTTTTAGTTGAAACTACCGGTTTATACCTACCCGCAAATTGGAAATCTGCCCGCGCAGTCGTTGACTCTTGATTGACGGATTATTGTTCCTCTGCCGTGGGTCTATTTGCTACACGACAAATTATTTGGAGAACGGTTTTCTTTATATCTATTGATTCAATAAGACTTTTACTTAAAATGATTTCTATGCTAGTGCACGAGAAGCTATCAGTTTGTGGGAAAATCCTTATTAAAAAATCCTTTAAACATAATAAAAAAAACTCACACTTAATTAAGTCTAACAACAAGAAGGTTTTGTTTTATAAACATAAAAAAAATAAAACAGCACGCAGCTCAATGGAATTTCAAATGTTGACATCACCAGTCACTAGATGGCGTTGATTGTAGTTTGACATCATTAGTTTATAACTCGTCATTAATATACAAGTAGGAGGTGGATGTTATTAGAAGTGTATTATGTAGTGGTAATATATCCGTGGGAACCACTGAGAACTGTTGTCGGTAACTGTTAACTACCTGTTTATGAAAGCCATTAGTTTCTTCATAGACTCGATACAAATTGATCCATTGCGCACTGTAGACAGCTTTTATCGTGTATATAGTTTACTTAAGTCCCTTTTCTTTGTATATATACATTAAAACTTTCCTGAGACATAATAATTAAATTAACTAAAACTCGCGGGTTACTCACGTGAACATACTGAGAAAAGCTCGACTAGTTTCGAGCTTTAGCTAATAATAAAATGTATAAATATTAATATAACATTTTCTATTTCATAATATCATTCTTCAGTTCTGCTCGCAATCTATCCACCTTTGTTTTTATTCGTACTTCACTTTTCCATGTTAAAATATCTTACTTTAATACCTTAGCTAACATCTGTCTATTAACCAGAGCCCATCAATATTAGCCCAGCGGTTTACGAATACAAAGCATAATAAACTAACTCACATATTTACATTATCACATCGGTCTCCTGCATTTGGTACCTTTAACATCTGTTACATCAATGGAGTCAGTCATTCAGTCACTGTTTACTTTAACAAATGGCTCCAGATACCGTTACGAGCTGGTGGAAGGCCTCGCCACCTTCAAGCTGGACTGGCACATTATGTATTATGATGAGTCAGTAAACGCCCATAAACTAACTGAGGTCCGTCCATCATCTCCGCTAATACATAATCATTGGGGTGACCATGGTGCTTAGCTTTTGAGAGTACTTAGGTATTTACTATACAGAAACACATACAAAATCTTATATTTGGACCCACATCGCAGGTCGTGCAACCACTGAACCGATTGCTGATGAAATTGATCAAATTATAAACCTAGCATTATATTATTTTATTAAAATATTTTATATTTATCTCAGTGGTGGCACGGAATCTGGAATTGTGCCCGGTATGTGGTAATAGGCTTACCCCCTATTGTATGGGACTCATAACACAAAATAGTAAAAAGTGGGTGTTACATGGTACCGTGTGTACCTCTGCCTTTTATCCCCGAAGCGGTAGGCAGAGGTGCACATTACGGCACTTAATGCCACTGTACAATGTAACACTCACTTTTCACTATTTATGTTATGAGTCCCATGTAATAGACGGTGAGCCTATTGTCATATACCGGGCACAATTCCAGACTCCGTGCTACTACTGAGAATTTTAATAAACCCAGTAATACTTAG